TTCTTCATCCCCCAGAAGAATCAAAGGACAAAGATAATTAAAGACACCATTCCATGAGTAGACCCAGTCATCAAAATAAAATTCCACTTCCCAAGCCACACCTCTCAGGTACCCAAATCAGAAAGTGAGAACATGCAGCTTATGAAGAAGATAAGAAGGAAAAAAGGCACAGACAAATAAAAACCAGGCAGAAGAATAAAGAAGAGTTGTGTGATCCACAACCATGTGGGATAAGAGAAGCCTTAACTGAGACTGGATGTGGAGACGTAAGAAAGAAGCCAATCAAGCGCCTGAGATAAGAAGTGATTGCAGGAGGTCATGGAGTGAGGTGAACATTTCCACGCAAGACAGTCAAGGCGGCCTTCAGAATAGGCACCAACAGCGCCCCCAGATCAGCTATCAATCCCTGCCCTGGTCTCCCTTATTTCCAGCTATTCTAATGGCGACACAGTTCCATTAATGCTTCCTCAATGTCTGTCTGAGGACGACTCTCCTCATTGGAACACCATCTCAGCAGTGTATCTACTCACTGCTCAGAAACAAGGACATCTTCATTTTTCCCCCCTTAGAGGTAAAGTTCCAAATGCTTATTGGTTTCCAGGGGGAAGCTGTAATTAGATCAGATTTATGACTGAATAGCTGACTGAATAGCTCTGATTAATGCGTTTGTTTTCCCCATATTCTGGTTAACTTCCCCACCACAGGCTTAATATCACACATGAGAGAACAGTTCAATAATAGCTAATCACACCAATAAGCTGAAGGTGTATTACTGATACTGTGCATTAGGGTGGGAAGTGACATATACGTAAAAAAGATGTGGAGGGAGGGATTATCACTGTTAAAGTTTGGGGATGTGTTAAACCTCATTTACAATGATTTCCATTAAAATGGTTACAATGAAAGTATTTGTAGTCAATGAAAAATGTCAGTGATTTTAAAGGGTGAGTACATGAAAAATTCACAAAGTCTAAACAGATATAAATACCCTCAAGTGTCTTCATAGCTGCTTTCTTAGCCTAAAGGGTGAGGAGGTCCCTGTCAGGGTTTTTCATCTGCCCCTTCCTCTCATTCATTCTGTTAGGGGCAGAAATAGAATATTGGGGACTGGCTATACTTATCTATATATAATAGATAAAAACCTAAACGACCATTACTACCAGTCAACCAAGTGACTGGTTGCTATGATACGCACTGACCACCAGGGAACAGATTTTCAACGCAGGAGTTGCCCCCTGTGGTCAGTGCACTCCCACAGTCAACCTCCTGTGGCCAGCCAACCTCCTGTAGTCCACCCCGCCTCCCACACACACCATCGGGCCTACCCTGCCAGCCCCAGATCAGGACGATCACTGGCCAGGTTGAGGGACCCCAGCCATGCACTGGGCCTTTAGTAAGTAATATTAATCATGCTCTGTTAACTATGATTGTTTTGCTCTGATTAAAGAAAACATATTCTGATGTTTTAGCACATGGCCCATTTTAATTCCTTTTGCATACTCATTCTTATTCCTTTTGCCTACTTCCCCATGTAATCTTTATCCTTCTACCCAATATAAACAGCTGGAGTGAGAGTGTGTGTGTGTGTGTGTGTGTGTGTGTGTGTGTGTGTGTGTGTGTTGGGGGGGGGGGGGGGAGATCGCAGAGCAGATTTTCATGGATGACCTGCTGCTCTTCCATACTGCTGGCATTGTTGGAATAAACCCTTTCTCTGCTTAGTTGGCTTAAGTAGTGACAGGCAGGCAGCCCGGGCCCATTGGTTGTCCAGTTTCAATTCACCAAAATTTATTGAGAAAAAATTGACCGAGTGCCTACTTCTAAGCAGTTTGAAAGGCTGGTTGGAAAGATTGCCAATAATTATGGCACAGTGAGATGAGGAAAGAGACTTTGCCATAGGTGATTTTTTGGATTGATTCCTTTAGGACTAGAAGGAGTTAAACAGAATGGACTGGTGGTGGGGACAAGCTGGAGAATGGGGTGGGGCCGAGGGGGGTTGTGAAGAAATTTGAAGCTGAGAATACTTTCTAGTCGGAAGACAGAAGGTGGAAGAGTGCTGGGCTGCTTATATAATACTTCCAACATCTTTTTCTCATTATGAGCTCTTCGGCTCGCAGAGCTGCTGGCTCCCTGCTCCACCTAGAGGTGGTGTGGGATCACACAAAGGCGGGGACTGGAGAACAGACTGGCTGGAAGCTTGCCTAGGTGGCTACATTAGATGTGTGATTCTGGGCAAGCTGCTAAACTTCTTTGAGCCTGTTTCCTCATCTGTGAAATGGGGATAGTAGCACCTGGATTAAAAGAAAGAATGTAAGTCAAGATCCTGCCTCAATTCATTTAGATCTCCTTTTCCCCTCTCTCTTGCTTCAATTTGGAAAGTGTATTCTTTCTCCTTATAACTTTCTCATTGCTCCTTTCATCTCTATCTTGCTACACTTTTGCTGGCATCCCCACTTGGAAGGGTGGCTGTGGCGGAAGGGGTGCATCAAACAGGGCTGGAGGAGCACAGCCTGTCAATAGTTCAGAAACCGCCTCCTGGTGGCTCTGCTGAGCCCAGCCCTCCCTCCTCCTACACTCCTCCTACACTCCTCCCTCCTCCACCTCCTCCCCTTTCCATTCGGATTGCTGCTCCCAGGGATCCTGCCTTTTGTTCTCTGGAGGCTTAAAATACCACCTGTTTTCCCCTGACTTATTGTTTAAAGGGTATCAACCACAGTGCACAGACTATCAAACTGAAATTGCTCAAACTTAAATAAAGCAAGAGCTAAGTTTGTGCTTTAAAAAATAAAACAAACCTCACAACACTAAAACATCAGTGCCTTCCCATTCCCATGGTCCCATTGTCTCCTTTCATTTCTTTTCACTCCCTTTGCAGTTACCACCCTTCTTTACTTGTTGGTACTATCATTTAAAAGTGATAAACAGTTATCTTTTAACACCAATTATAATTTATCTATTGTATGCCTGTCTCCCCTATTTTATAGTCTATAGCATCCGGTCCTCTGTATCTGTAGGCTGTTTCTCAAAGTTGAATATGCATAAGAATCACCTGGGGGATCTTTTTAAAATGCAGATTCTGATTTAGCGGTTCTGGGGAGGGGCTGAGTTTCTTCTAACAAGCTCCCTGCTGAAGCCATGCTGCTGGGCCCCGGACTACGCTTGGAGTTGTTAAGCCTTACAGGGGTTACAACAAAGGAGGTTCACAAGAAATGATTGCTGGGTGAGGCCTTCCTCTCTCCTACACAGTCTTGGGACTTAATACATCTTTCTCCACTTTTCTTCTCCTGCACAATTTCTGATTAACACCTGACAATTAGTCCTTTGTGTACTTAGCTGTGCTCTTCCTTGCCTTTTTCATTTATCAGGCTCATCCAGAAATATCTAGATCACTTAGGGCGTACAACAGTAACCTCCAGCTTCTTTCTATTGTCATCTACCTTGTAGCGAGCAAGAATAACTTGTTAAAAAAAAAAAAAAAAAAAAACACATCTCTGCCCTTTCTTGCTCAGCAATATCTAGTAGATACCAAGCTTCAAACTCAAAGTCTGGATGAGAAGCTTCAAGACATTTCTCCAAACCTACCTACTCCCTTGCCAATCAGTTCTCTTTCACCACTGGGAAGCTTCTGCATATTGTTGAGACATGATTTAGTCTCTTGAAATTCTTGAAGGACATTTTGCATTGGAAATGTCTTCTTTCGTTCCTTTTAAAAGCATGAGTATCACTTTCAAAAAATTTTTCTCAATGTTTACCCCACTTAAAGGTTTTCTTGATTTAGTCCTAGTTGTGAGTCCTTCAGTTAAAGGAGTATAAGCTCCATACCATTATTTATTTATATATTTAATATTCTTATGGATTCCCCCATCCCCCATTTTCATTTTTTTAAATGGGAATTGTTGGTGCTTGTTGTTCATGATTGTATGCAAAGCACCTAATAGTGCCTGACACAGGGTAGGCACCAGTACTTATTTTGTGATTCAACGAAAGATAAAACAAAAACTTAAAATGAATTTTTATTACTTTTCAAAATGCAGTATTTACTATATTTGTAAATCAGTATTGGCTAAAGGATCAAAAAAAATTATAAACTAAGTTTTACAAATTCTTTCTCCTTAAGAGTATTTTAAAGGAATAAGACATTTGAGGTTTAGTAACACTACATCTCCCCAGCAACCATTCTACTATGGATTTAAAATTGAGACGCAGTTAAAATTTACTTAAGAGTCCGAACCCACATCCTATCTAAAAGGCTTATGCTTTCCTGTCATTGTTTTTCACTCATCACATTTTGCATTCGTTAGGAACTGCATTTTCTTAACAGTCCTTGGTGCTTTAAATTGAAAAGAAAAGGAATGGGCGTTCTCATATTACAGTTTCTAGAAAAAGAAAAGAAGAAGAAGAAAAAAAAAAGAATGCCCAGGCCCATTCAGCGAAGTGTAAGAGGCCTACAAGCTGCACACCCAGCAACCGCCTCATGCTCGGATTTCATCTATGGGTTTTTTTTTTGTGTTTTTTTTTTGTACAGTTCTTTTTTGGATGGTGCAAACCGCGCAAGTGCAGCCATTCAGGGCTCCCCCACCCTGGGAAACGATGCAAGAACATGCAGCTGAGGCTGCCAGGCCCTCTCTCTCACATACAGTCATGGGCTGGAGGCCCGGATCCCCGCTCCCAAACCCAGTCCCCAGCCAGCGTCCCCTCCCTCCCGGCCTTTTACATACAGTACACATACAAACACACACACGCAGCGCGGCCAGCAGGGGCGGGCCGGGCCCGACCACTCTGCAAACCGCAGGGGGGGAGCCTCCGCGGGCCCATCCACCTTCGCCCACACCTTTCCCCTTCGCACCTATCGCTCCCTCCACTCGGCTGTCACTTTTAGAAAAAAAGAGAGAACATGAGGATTTAGGGGACTTGGGTCGTTCCATTTCGGAGCTACACACATTAGGCGAGGGCTGCGCTGAGCGCCCCCCCTTCCTGGGCGAGCAGTTGGTCTCGCCCCAGCGCTAGCGGGCGCCGAGCGGGAGCCGCGCGGGAGCAGCGCAGCGCGGCGGCAGGGGCAGCAGTGGCGGCGGCGGCGGTTGCCATTCGGAGCCGTTGAGGCGCCTCTGCGGCAGCTGGTGGCGCAGGTGGCCTGCGTGGACGCGGGCAGTGGCGGCCGGCCCGCCACCGCAGCCTCGGCGCCCGCAGCCCCGGCAGCAGGTGAGCGGGCGGCGGAGGCCCGCCCCGCCCCCCCTCGGCGGCCTCGCTCGGGGCTGTAGCGGGGAAGTGGCCGCGGCCCGCCCGGGCGCGGAGGGGCGGCCGTCGGAAGGCAGGTCGGAGGGGAGGGGGGGGGGAGCGGGCGTGGGAGGATGGAGAGGTTCCCCTTTCTTCTGCCATTTGCCCCCGCCTCCCCCTCCCTCTGGGGGCTCCCACCCGGATGAGGGGAGCTCGGGGAGGGAGAAAGGAGCATTGGGGCTTCCGATGGCAGCATCTCGGCCTCAGGTAGTGGCGTCTTTTCGGCCGCGGCGCGGAGGACCCGCGGGGGCCTGGAGGGGTCGCTCTGGGGCCGCGAGGCCGCGCGCTGGCGGGGGAGGAGCGGGAGGCGGCCGTCCCCTCACTCCCACCCCCACCCCTCGCGATCCTCCCCCTCGGGGTGCTCCCCCTCCCCCGGCCTCCCCGGAGGCCCCTCCCTCCGGGTTTCTGTGCTTTAACCGCCCTCCGCGCTCCCCCTCCGGCAGGCGCGTTGGGACTCCCCGAGGCTCCATCCTCCCGCCGCCCCGGTGCCCGGCGGTCCCCCCGCCGTCCCCGCCGCCGCTCCTCTCGGCTGCGCTTCCGTTCCGGATCCCCCGCGTCGCCCCTCACCAAACATGACTCGCGATTTCAAACCTGGAGACCTCATCTTCGCCAAGATGAAAGGCTATCCCCATTGGCCAGCTCGAGTAAGTGATTTTTTTTATATTTAGTCTTTTCGCATTTAGCGGTGCTGTCTTTAAAAAAAAAAAAATGGTTTTTCTTTTTCCCTTCGTGTTGTTTCTCCCTCCGGCTTGCTTGCAGTCTCCTTTGTTAGCCTACGTTTTATTTTATTTTTTTTCACCCCGTAGTCTCCCAGGTAATTGTAAAAAAAAAAAAAAAAAAAAAAAAAATCCAGGTGTATCTACATGCTTAACATATTTTCCCTATTTCCTTAATGTTTTTGTTTTTGTTTTTGTTTGGTTTTTTTTGACAGACTTTGGCAGGCTTTCTTAACTGGAAATGTTTAAATGGGATGCCCGTTAATGTTTCATTGTAGGTCGAAAATGACCAAGTGTGGGCTTTATGTTTAAAAATTAGTGAAACATTGGCGTTTTCTGCATTTTGAGTAAAATGCATGGTATCAATGAAATTATGCAAACTTTTGTATGTCAAAGGGATGTGTGATCAAGTTGGATTTGCAGGTGTTTTGTAGTTTAGTTGATGAGGCCTTCTGTATTTGCTTGTTTGGTAAAGAGATTAGGACTGGATAGTCATGGATATTGCACGGTGGGTTAGTACCAAGGAAAGTGTAGGAAATTTAGTTTCCGCGTTTTTATTCATGAAGTTAGCCTTAGGGCAAAAGGGGGAGTTGACCTAGACCCCTGGGTGCACATCTAGTAGTGGTACAGAGGTGATGAAGGACCCAGGATGGGTGTGTGTGTGTGTGTGTGTGTGAGAGAGAGAGACAGACAGACAGACAGACAGACATTTGGGAATTAAGATTGTCATTTTCAGAAAAAGCGCTATTTTTTGTTAGTGTATGGTAGGACTCTGGTTCTAAGGTAATGATGGAACCTAGAAAAGGTTGAGGCCTATTTGGTTAATAACCTCAAAAATTCTTAACTATAAATGTGATATTGTAAGGTTGAAATTGCCACTAATTTACTTTGCTTTGAGGATTGTTGTTTCTTAAAGATATCGGTAATTAAAATTATGGCAGCTGGAAGAAACATACCTATTTGGTTACAGAGAATCACCAGTTATTGAGGCCTATGCAAATATACTGCTTGATTTTACCCATCTAGTTCTTTACAGACTCAGGTTTACAATTTCTTTCCCAAATCTGGAAAAATCCACTTCCCTCCCCCTTAGTCTATCAAGGCTACCTTTTCAGTGGAATCTTACTTGTACAATCCTTAATCATAATTCTTGTCTGTATATTTGATACTATTTCCTTTCTGATGATCTCTTACATGCACACCTTAACTTCCACATAGATTGAAAGCTTCTTAAGGGCAATAGATGTAAATTTTATATCCCCACAGTACTTAGTGCATACTAATGCACTTACAAAACACTTCGTTTCATGTTTAAATAAAGCACAGGGAAGGTTGGCAGGTTTAAGACCCCGCTGAGATACTTATGGTTTTAGCATTCTTATTTACTTATTTTGAGGTGTTATCTTAGGTAATGGGATATATTTATTTTCAGATTTCTATGTCATAATACAGTTAAAAGCCAAATGAAAATGTTTTAAAAGTTATTTACTCTTCCAAGTTGTTCTTCCAACATGCTTCAGTATGTCAGGTGAGTAAGGTTACTGCTGATGAAAGCAAAATAAACTAGCCTTAGGAGAGCCAGAGTATTTTCCTTTATTTAATAAGACCTATATTTAACAAGTTCACTTGTATTTCCTTTTCTTCTTTTTTTCTTAGAAGTGAATGAATTTTGATTATTTATGTCCAAGAATTATATTCCTTTTTCTGTCTTCTTTCCAGTCTTACAAGTTAGAAGTCTCTGCTTTGGAGTTTAGAATATGTATTTAAGGCACACGTGTCAAACACAAGGCCCGCGGGCCAAATCCGTCCCGCCAGGCCTTGCAATGTGGCCCGCACCGCGCTGTCATCACTGCACTCCGCTGCGTTTCCATCACAATGACAGTTTATGACTGTTCAGTAAACCATTCGGCCCGCAATTTAGGCTGGATTTTAGATTTTGGCCCCTTCTCTGATTGAGTTCGACACCCCTAATAAGGTCTCAGCAGTGACAGTGGCAACCATCTGTTCCTATTTTGATTTTAACATTTTCTGTTTACATATCCCAAATTTCATTAATTTTTATGTCTTGTACATTCTTTTAATCCTATACCAGTATTAATCATATTTAAATTCAACTTTTTAAAAAAAAATAATTTTTTTATTGATTTCAGAGAGGGAGAGAGAGATAGAAATATTAATGATGAGAATCATTGATTAGTTGCCTCTTGTATACCCACACTGGGAATCGAGGCCATAACCTGTGCATATGCCCTTTACTGGAATTGAAGCTGGTATTCTTCAGTTTGCAGGCTGATTCTCTATCCACTGAGCAAAACCGGCCAGGGCTAAAGTCAACTTTTAAAAATTGCCTAAAATTTGTTAAACTCTGTAGATACTAGACATTTTTTACAGACTTTTAAAGCTGTTTGCTAGCTGAAACAAGCATATCAATTGGTTTGACAAAATACCCCTTATCTTAAGGCCTCTAAGGATTTGCATAACTCTTGGTTTTTTTCCCATAAAGTTGAAATGACAGGTAAAATAGTTATTGATCAGGTAGATGAGACAAGCCCTTAAGAGTGGTGGGTGATAATGACTCTTTTGATGCCTGAAACCTTCAGACTGCCAGTCAAATCATTCCAACGGTCTTTTCTTCAACATGATGATAATGCTTGCAGAGCATAGTAGGTCCTCTGATGGTCTGCTCTCTTCTTAATAAAGAGAACTGACTTTTAAAGTGTCTTTGAAATTAGGGGTGAAATGTTATGAAGTTTAAATTAATAATGAAACAAAATAGAAATTAAAAAAAATTCTGGCTAGATACTATTGCCTGATGGCTTTAACTCTGAGGTCTGCTTTCCTTTATTAATAAGCGATAATATCATAGATATGTTAGAGGTAACAGCACCGGATGCTTTCTTCCTTAGTTAGTTAGGTTTGAAAGAAAAAAAGGAACAAGAACTTCATGTGATTCAGCCATGTAAATATTAGACCTTTTCAGAATATGTTTCAGACTTTGAGAAACAGTACTATAAGCTTTTGTTACAGTCTATTTTACATTACTTCAATATTTGTATAGCCTTCCTTGCCACTGAATGAATTTTTAGAAATACCTTGGTTTTTAGAGCTGCTTTCGTTTCAAAACTAGGGATAAGGGATTATAGACTTGTAGAACTGGTTCACATTATATCAGATCCGTTTTGGATGTTTTGTTTTTAGTTTATTCTGTTGAAGAATGTATGACTTAAAATATTTTAATTGTTTTGCGCTTTCTTTTAGGTAGATGAAGTTCCTGATGGAGCTGTGAAACCACCAACAAACAAACTGCCCATTTTTTTCTTTGGGACTCACGAGACGTAAGTCCTTTTAGCTTTAAGGCAAATCAAAGTTAATTTAGCAGAGTCATAAAATGAAAAACAAGTAGAGATTAATTTAAAGGGAAAATAGTAAAGGAATAAAAAATTTAAAATCATCTTTGAACTTTGGAAAAAGTCTTCAAGTGTCCCTTTTAAAATTTTATTTTTAGGGTTGAAAAATTAGACATATAGGTTTTAACTTTCATTGGAAGAGATGTTTCCTTAATCATAAAGAAAGCTATATATGGATCTTCTCAGCAATTAGAAGAACTGATGGATGAAAGTATATAAGTAAAGATTTAAGGCATTTAGCATTCATATTTAGTATAAGTCCTTTTTAAAAAAAAAAAATAGGTTCTTACTGATTTCTAGAGAGAGGAACGGAGACGGGTAGAGAAACACTGATGAGAGAAACATCATCAATTAGATGCCTCCTGCACACCCCTTTCTAGGGATCAAGTCTGCAACCCAGGCGTGTTCCCTGACTGGTAATGAACCACTGTTGGTTCCTGGGTCAAGGCACAACCACTGAGCAACACCAGCTGGGCTAGTATAAGTGCTTTTTATAAGGACAATCTGGCACCTTATTTTAGGCTTTGTTATATTAGTCATACAAACAGTATACAGTGGGAAAAGTGAGAAGAAGAAATCTGGATAGTTCCCTCTGTATTTATATGTCTGGTTCTGAGAAACACTGTTACTGTTCTGTTGCCTCCGGTACATAAGTGGGCAGAGAACCCGATTTGGTGAAACAAATTAATTTTTAAAATTACAACTGAATATTGAACTGTTTACTTCTAGGTACATAAAATTACCATAAGGCAGTGGTTCTCAACCTTGCTAATGCCTCAACCCTTTAACACAGTTCCTCATATTGTGGTGACCCCCAACCATAAAATTATTTTCGTTGCTACTTCATAACTGTAATCTTGTTACTGTTAATGAATCATAATGTAAATATCTGTGTTTTCTGATGGTCTTAGGCAACCCTGCTAGTGGTTCTGCAGAGCCTAATTTATGGTTGGGGATCACTACAACATGAGGAACTGTATTAAAGGGTCAAGACATTAGGAAGGTTGAGAACTAGTGCTCTAAGGCTATCTCATTAATTTTGGAAAATAATATCCTGCATACCTTTAATTTAATGATCTTACAAATATTATATGTAATTTCATTGATTTTTGGACCTGAAGTTTAGAATTTTACCATAATTTTGGTAACATACTTGTTTACTTGGGAGCAGGAGAAATGAAAGTATTGATATTCTACAATAATTAGAATTATGTATTCCTAAGAGTCTACAATGGCAACATTTGCTTTATTGTTTCTTATCTACTATATGAACTTTCCTATAATTTATTTCACAGCTTTATTGAGATGTAATTTATGTAATAAATTTTACTTGTTTAAAGAGTATAAATGAGTGGATTTTAGTATATTTACTTCCATAACTATTAGTGTTCATTATCCATTCCCTCCTCAACCCTAGACAACCACTATTTTACTGTCTGTTTAGATTTTCCAAATCTAGATGGTTCATATTAATGGTATCACACAATGCCACATAATTATTTTCTTTAAAATATAGTTTTGACACAGTAGTGTGGTGAAGGCCAGGGGCAGGGAATGGCTAGAAGGGGTCTATGGGCTAAAAAAGAGGACATGTAATACTTTCAACAGTAAGGATTTAAAATATATATATATATTTTTTGAATCTAGAATTTGATTGGCCTTCAACATAATTATTTTAGTTGAGTTTAGGAATATCCTATATATAAATATTTAATTTTGTAAGAAATGATGAATTTCTGCTGAAACTGGTTTGGCTCAGTGGATAGAGTGTCAGTCTGTGGACTGAAGGGTCCCGAGTTCGATTCCGGTCAAGGCATGTACATTGGTTGCAGACACATCCCTAGTGGGGGGTGTGCAGGAGGCAGCTGGTCGATGATTCTCTCCCATCGACATTTCTAACTATCCCTCACCATCTCTGTAAAAAAAAATCAATAAAATATATTATATAAAAAAAGAAATGATGAATTTCTGATTCCATGGGATAATATACCATTTAAAAACTGTTCCATAAATGTATTAGGGCAGTGATCGGCAAACTGCAGCTCATGAGCCACATCCAGCTCTTTGGCCCCTTGAGAGTGGCTCTGCTAACAAAATACCACAGCCTGGGTGAGTCTATTTTGAAGAAGTGGTGTTACCCTGTTTCCCCGAAAATAAGACAGTTTCTCATATTAATTTTTGCTCCCAAAGATGCGCTAGGTCTTATTTTCAGGGGATGTCTTATTTTTCCATGAAGAAAAATACGGTATACATTTATTGTTAAACGAAAATAAAGGAAATTTTTTACCTGTATACGGTACAGTAGTGCAGTAGTTGTCAACACAAACCAGACAAACTGAATCCTACAGAATCAAGAATTTACTCATTTATTCAATGACAGTCATGTCATCATCTTCTGGAACATCATCATAACAATCCAATTCCTAAATTTCCTGGTGAATTTCTTGTGACTCTATTTCTTTCAGAATCAGTGGACACAAATCTCTCACATTTAGCATTTAGCCTGGGGGGGGGGGGGGGCTTATTTTCCAGGGGGATGCCTTATATTTCATTCAGAAGGAAACCTGTAAGTAGGTCTTATTTTCGGGGAAACATAGATGATTTTTATGTATGTGAAGTTTGGAAATACTATTATAATAATTGGAATAGATGTTTCATAGAATTTTTCAGTTTTATAAGTTTAGAATTCTTTAATTTTTCTGAGATGGAACAGATTTTATACATATATATTGTTATAGTTTTATAGAACATATAGTTCATATGTTAAATTTAAATGAACAGTGGTCATACCTTCACCAACATTTAAAAATGAAAATTTTAGCCCTAATCAGTATGGCTCAGTGGATAGAGCGTCGGCCTGCGGACTCAGGAGTCCCAGGTTTGATTCCGGTCAAGGGCACGTACCTTGGTTGTGGGCACATCCCCAGTGGGTGGTGTGCAGGAGGCAGCTGATTGATGTTTCTCTCTCATGGATGTTTCTAACTCTCTGTCCCTCTCACTTCCTCTCTGTAAAAAATAAATTTTATATATATATATATATATATATATATATATATATACACACACACACACACACACATATATGCATATATACATGTTTGTTTTTTTTAAATGAAAATTTTTACATTGTATCTGTAAACTTGAAATCAAACTGCACTGACTACTAAACCTTCATAAGCATAGTTTGGTTTAATGTATCGGGTCTAGTAATAATTAATGTCGTTTTAAAACATTCGTTTAAAATCTTGCTTGGTGTTGACTTGTATTGACATAACCTTCAAACACGTGGTATCAACAGAACGTGTGAAGTGCAATTAACAAGTTTTGCTTGAAAAAGTGTGTTTGGTTTGGTTTTTGTTGCAAAACTAGGGCTAAGAAGATGGCGGATGAAGAGCATATTCGGCACTGCATGCTTTACGAGTTCCAATTAGGAAGAAAAGCAAGTGAGGCTGCAAAAAACATCTGTAGTGCTCTTGGTCAAGATGCAGTTAGCGCCAGAAAATGCCAGCGATGGTTTGAGAAATTTCGCGAGGGAAATTTTTCGTTAGATGACAAGAGTGGTTGAGGCCGTGTGTCCAATTTTGATCAAGAAGCTCTTCAAGCTCTTTTGGTGCAAAATCCTCAAATTACCCAACAAGAGCTTGCGACAACTTTAAATTGTTCACAAAAAACAATTTCCAATCAATTGTGTGCACTTGGCAAAGTCCAAAAGTTTGGAAAATGGGTTCCTCATGAGTTGACCGACAACAACCGTAATCAAAGAGTCACAATTTGCAGTTCGCTCCTCTCTCGTCAAAACCGTTTGCCGTTTTTAGAGCAAATTGTTACCGGAGATGAAAAATGGGTGCTGTATGTTAATTTGAAAAGGCGGCCTCAGTGGTTGGACAAAAATGAGGCTCCGCAGCCCACGCCAAAACCTGACTTGCATGGGAAAAAAAGTGATGTTCTGTGTTTGGTGGAATTTTAAAGGAATTCTTCATTATGAACTTTTACCATCTAACCAAACCATTACAAGTGCAGTGTATAGTGCCCAATTGGAAAGGTTAGCCCAAGCTTTAAGAGAAAAAGAACCCGCGCTGATTAATCGGAAGGGCGTAATTCTTCACCAGGATAACGCACGACCGCATACTGCAAGAATCACTGCTGAAAAACTGCGCCAGTTGGAATGGGAAGTTCTCCCTCAACCTGCATATTCTCCTGATATTGCCCCTTCCGATTACCATTTGTTTCGTTCTTTGCAAAACTTTCTTCTTGGAAAAAAATTTAATAATGAAGAATGCCTCAAAAATGCATTGACCGATTTTTTTGCATCAAAATCACAAGAATTTTACAATAGAGGGATTAAATGCTTCCTGAGCATTGGGCACAAGTAGTAGAAAACAACGGCAACTATATTGTTGATTAAATTTTGTTGTATTGTTTAAATAAATTCGATTTAAAATATTAGCAAACGACATTAATTATTACTAGACCTAATAGACCAAGGGTGGGGAATATCCAGCCTGCAGTATCATTTGGTTTGGCCCTACCAAGGCAACTGCAGGCTGGATTCAAAATTAGATAAATCTGGGAGCATTTTTCATAGCTACATAATTTTTAAATTGAGAATTTTGTATGATCCTTGGCAGAAAAAGGTTCCCCACCCTTGATGTAGACACTAAATTACTAGTTTTAAGAAATTTGAATATGTTCAAGGAAATGAAATGTAATTTTAAAATTAAGCTAATACATTTTATTTCAAAACATACTGGTAATGTTTTGTGGTTAGTGTTCTTATAAGTATACCGTTTATCTTTGGAAAGGCCAGGCTACTGTATCTGTCAGTTTGGTGACTTTTTGTACCTCAGGTTAGATTTTAGAAACTAGATCTTTGGTCATTTGCCTATTCTCTCTGTCCCCAAAAGTTGGGAGGGTGGTTATTTGAATACTAGAGGCCCAGTGCAGTATACGAATTCATGCATGGGTTGGGTTCCTCTGAGTGGCCTGCAGGGATCTGGTTAAAATCTGCAGTCTAACACTGCCTACAGCTCATACCTGCTGCTCCTGCTCATCCCAGCCTCACTGTGCCTTCTGTGGGCTTATGCCCAATCAGTCCTGATCAGGAGAGGCTCACACTGCTGCAGCAGTGCTTGCCAGACATGAACCCAGTGTCTGGTGCCCTCCCAAGGGGAGTGGCCTGAGGAATCAGGCCAAGGAGGGGCTGAGGGAGGGCTCCAGGGCGTATCCGGCCCATCTTGCTCAGTCCTGATTAACTGGACCCCAGCTGCAAGCTAAGCTCCTGGTTGGAGCATCTGCCTCCTGGTGGTCAGTGCACATCATAAGAGAGCTGTTGAATATCCTTAGCATATCATTAGCATACTACACTTTGGTTGGTTGGTTGTTCTGCTGTTTAGTCTATTTGCATATTGCCCTTTTATTATATAGGGTTTCTATTTGGATTTTGCATAAATAAGAGTTTATTCTAATAGCCTGTAGTAAGGGAGATGGGAAAGGAGGAACATAGAAAATGAAATAGCAATTTAGAAAACTGTGCTTATTCATAACTTTTATATACTAATTGTTTCGTAGAGCACAGAGTTCATTCACGTTAAATTTAGATGACAAATGATCATTCCTTCTCTAATTTTTAACGGTGAGGCTTTTTATATTGTATAAATTAAGGTATTTTTGTTGTGAATTTAGAGCAGAATCCTTTTATAACTTTAATATGAAAATATCTGAATTTTCTTAGTGTTTTACAGCATTTACAGTAAATTCATCCAGCAATCAAGGTTTGAACATTAGACGACAATAAGTGTATACCAACTCTGACCATGTACTAAATACCTTAAAACTAACAATTTTAAAACGGATTCTTTGTAAATGAGACTGACATGGACCCAATGTTTTTCTGGAGCCAAAAGTCTTGTTGTTTTCTTTTAAAGTGCATCCTGATCTGTCCACCCTTCTCCACCTGCCCTGGCCGGCCTAGGCCTCCACTCCAGGCTACAAAGTTTCAGTTATAGAAGGTAAACAAATCCAAACAGAAATGGCGGCAGCCATGGTGTGAGCAGGGGGCTTGGCTCCTCTCCAGGCTACAACATTTCAGTTGTAGTAGGCAAATAAATTCCAGATACCAGGGCCTCCGTTTGGGTTGCCAGTGGCTGGCCTGCAAACCACCACAGGCCCCTCTCCCAGGCCACCCCATGCCCCAAGGGAACCTCCACCCTGATCTGGGACACCCTTCAGGGCAAACCAGATGGCCCCCATCCGTGCACCAGGCCTCTATCCTAAATAATAAAAAAGTAATATGCAGATTGACCATCACTCCAACACACAAAATGGCTGCCCCATGTGGTTAAAGATCCTGCCCCTGTGTGGACACAAGTGCCACCACAAGATGGCCACCAAGGGAGGGCATTTGGGAGAGACCAGGCCTGCAAGGGAGGGCAGTTGTGGGCAATCAGGCCAGCAGGAGAGGGCAGGGGAGGCACCAGGCCTGCAAGGGAGGGCAGTTGGAGGCAATCAATCCTGCAGGGGAGGATAGTTAGGGGTGACCAGGCTGTCAGAGGAGGGAAGTTGGGGGCAAACAGGCTGTCAGGAGAGCAGTTAAACATCAATCAGGATGACATGGGAGTGGTTAGGGGGTGGTCAGGCTGGCAGGCAAAAGCGATTAGGGGCAATCAGGAAGGCAGGCAGGCAAGCAATTGGGAGCAAACAGTCCTGGGTTGTGAGAGGGATGTCTGACTGCCTGTTTAGACCTGATCCTGGAGGGATCCCAGATTGGAGAGGGTGCAGGCTGGGCTGAGGGACACACACCCCCCTGCATGAATTTTGTGCACTGGGCCTCTAGTTTGTGTATAAGTTTTTGTGCTATTTTTTTTCCACTTCCTTGAACACTGTCAGTAATTGTGTTGAATGCTTTGACAATATTTAAAGATTATAAGCCCTGCCAGTGTGGTTCAGTGTGACCTGGAGGTCACAGTTCAATTCCTGGTCAGGTACATGCCTGTGTTGTGGGCTCAATCCCCAGTGTAGGGCGTGCAGGAGGCAGCCAAGTCATGATTCTTGTCTCATCATGGATGTATACTATCTTTCCCTCTCCCTTCCTCTCTGAAATCAATAAAAATATTTTAAAAAAAATAAAGATTATGAAACAATCATAATTTTTCCCATTAATGGCCTTACACAGTCATTTTTATGGTCTCATATTGTCATGCAAGAAAAGGACTACCTTTTTGAGAAAAGAAAAATCCTTGTAAATTTATCTGGTCAAACCTACAAATACCAGCAAAAACTTACTATTGTATATACTTGTGTGCCTCTACATTTATAGAATTGACAGACTTCTACAGAACTGACATAGTAAGCTATAAGGGATAAATACATTTGTGTCTATACACACAAAAATAATAGAATTGCTTCATTGGCAGATTCCATACTTCTGAATTATCCTCAGTAAAATTTATAATTCTAAATCAATACTTGTGGTGCCTTCATGGTCATGTCAGTGTGCAAAATTGCAAAAAAGTGAGTAATTTGATGCACATTCCTAGCTGAGGCTAAACAAGACAGTGCTTTTGCCTTTTTGTTTAAGATCTCATACTATAAAAGTAGGCTGTACTTTTGCAGTCAACATAATGCCTTGGTTTTTGCATATTGGTACTTTCCGTTGGTCATTTGGTATTTATAATGAGCCCCAAATGTGGTGTTGAAGGGCTGTTAGTGTTTCTAAGTTTAAGAAGGCTGTAGTGTGCATTATAGAGAAAGTATGTGTAATATAATCTCTTGGCTGTGAGATGAATGTTAATGAATTATAAATATTAAATAAGATGTCTTTAAATAAAATCACACATAAAACAGGTTATGTATTTTGGTTTATTGATGAAAATGTGACCAGAGGCTCGTAGGAACCTACCTTGTATTTTTCCTGAAGCAGTGGTGCAGTATTTATATAGTAATTCAGTATTTGTGATAACTTTATGACACAGTTACCCCAAATACAAGAAGTTGTGCATGTGTATGAATGAATCAACGAACCAGTTAGCACATTCAATTCCCTTATTGAAAAAGTAAAATTCTTAATACTTTTTAATAAATATTTATATAAATATAAAACATAAGTGCATATAAGAATATATTATATTGGTGGTGTTTTATGAGTTGTGTAATATTCCTAATTACTTTAACATGAACTTCTATTTTGAGTGCATTTAAATGTATTTACTAATGCAATCATGTCACAGTTTCGTTTTTGTGCATTTTTATATTGTACAATATATAACAATTTCCCATTTTAACAATTTCAAAGTGTACAGTTTCGTGCCCTTAAGTATTTCTCATTGTTGTGCAACCTGCTTGTTCTTATTTAATTTTTTCCATCACCATGTATCCCTTTTGTGGCATCTTCTACCTCCATTCACCCCCCCCCCCCCCCCCCCCCCCACACACACACCCTAACTTGCTTGGTTTTATAAATAGGATTATTGATGTAGGAGCTTGTGACTGAGTTTAATAAAAGTATTCAGAATTAAATATAATTATGTCTACTTTATATAAGATTTTAATGCGTTTTAGATTAAGTTTGATAATTGCATCATATAGTAGTGTTATTTAATAACATACTTGGAGATTGCTTTGCATTCATATTTTCCTTCCCTTTCTCTACTTTCTTTTAGTGCTTTTTTAGGCCCAAAGGATATATTCCCTTACTCAGAAAATAAGGAAAAGTATGGAAAACCAAATAAACGAAAAGGCTTTAATGAAGGCTTATGGGAGATTGACAACAATCCGAAAGTGAAATTTTCAAGTCAACAGGTGCGTCATATTACATGATACTTAGTTTAGTATTATGTATGCAGTCTTGGGGAATACTCACTATTGTAGCAGTAGGAAAATACTGATTTAAGAACCATGTCAGTTTCAGATTAAATTGTTCTTATTTGTGAGGTTGAATGTTGACCTTTAATATCTAGAATCTAGATGAACTTTTGAAAGATCTCAGAAAATTGGAATATATTGTAGTTTAACTCCATCTGATTGAGAGTTATGTCATTGAATATAAAGCCATATGTACTGTTCTCTTAAATTTAGGTTTATACAATAATTTGAAGAGAGTGTGTTTTCTTACTTGTTTTAATTTATCCATAAAATTGTATTAGAATATAATCCTCAGATGGGTAAATTAAATATGTGACAAAAGTACTTGTAGCACTATGTAAGTTACACTTAATGTTTTTTGTGTCTAGAAGATTAAACCTCCTTTTCTGTTTTTCTTGTGATCAGAGTTTTTGTTCACTTATATTAGACTTGAGATAGTAAACGCTAGGAAAAGTACAAATAAACCTAAACAAGGAGAAAGCCATAAACTGGAAAATTTGCAAATTCTACTTTTAAATCTCTATTTAAAATATTTATTTATTTATTTGGTTCTTGTTCTTCACTTTGAAAGCTTTTCAGGTGCTGTTCTATCTGGAACATTAAATCATTCATTGATGCTTCAGGGCTCCATTAGATAATCCTGAGTGCTTTTCATTATCATCTAAAACTTAAATTTGTTAACTCATCATACCATACGATAATTGTTTCTATACTTTATTACCATAGACTATTAACTCCATGAACAAAGAAGTTGCATGCCCATTGTTATATGTTGTGGGCAGAATAGGTTTTCACTAAATATTTGTTGCATGACTTAGATCAGGCGTCCTCAAACTTTTTAAAGTGGGAGCCAGATCACGGTCCCTCAGAGAGCTGGAGGGCCGGACTATATGAACTACTAATTCCTACTGTAACACCTCGGCTGCGCTCATTGCCCAAAAAACCTGGCGGGCCGGATCAGACTCCTCTGCGGGCCGCATGTGGCCCGCGGGCCATAGTTTGAAGACCCCTGATAGATGAATGGTTCCCCATCATTATTGCTTTGACTGTGTAAAGTGTCCAAATAGGTTGAATTGTTTCCTAAAACTAATATTTTATAGCTTCATCTGAATCCTTGTGTGCTGTGACTATATCTTCATGGTCTTTTTCATCCTCCAGATTGCCCAGCATGGTCACCCTATCCTCTGTTCCTTTGTTCTTATTAATCTTTAAATAATTTTCACCATATATACTTGGAATTTCCCATTTCACAGTGAAATTTTTGGTTGGTTGTATGCATGAAACCAAAAATATGAATGATTGTGCTATAGAGCTGTAATTTAGGGGCATTTTTATGTGTTTTGTTGTAACATTATAATGATTTGTGATTTTATTAGCATTGCTTTTTCTTACAAAAGAGGAAATGGGTTTACAATTTAAAAGACTTGTCAAAGGGAATACAGCTAGAAAAGAACACAGTTTGGATTATAATGCTATCATCTTGTAGATCTGTGCTTACCCTCCCCATTGTGTATTGTGTTGCCTCTGTTATTCATCTTTTTAGTTGGTATTAATGACAGTCTAGGCCCCTAGATCACTTGCTTAAGTATCTATAACCTGGGGTTACTTTTATAATTTTTTAAATTATGTTCTATTGGTTTTTAAAAAATATATTTGTAAAGCATAATTTTTATTGCTTTTTTTACATAGTGAAAGAGAGAGCGAAAGAGAGATTCATCAGTGAGAAACATTGATCAGCTGCCTCTTGCACACCCCCTACTGGGCATGTGCCTGCAACCAAGTTACATGCCCTTGACTGGAATTGAGCCTGAGAACCTTCAGTCCGCAGGCTGGCTCTCCACTGAGCCAAACCAGGGCTAAAAAATATTTTTATTGATTTTAGAGAGAGATGAAAGGAGAGGGAGAGAGAGAAACATCAGTGATGAGAGAGAATTATCAATCAACTGCCTCCTACATACCCTCCATGGTGACTGAGTACCCAAGCTGGGCATGTGCCCTGACTAGGAATGGAATCGGTGCTCAGCCACTGAGCCACACCATCTGGGCTACTTTTACAATTAAATAATTATTGACTCTCACTCAGTACCTGTTAAATCCAAATCACTTAAGTTTGGGTCTCCAAAGTCTGCATTTTAAATTGAGTTATAGATCAATCTAAGGCTTTATGTCTTACACAGTTAAGCTTCTCTCTCCAGAATATTTCAGTAATTGAATACACTGTGCTATTCTAAACCAACTTATATTGATTGTATCCTCCTGGGTATTTGTTGGTTACACTATCAGAATGGGATTTGTGATTGTACTTTCAGTTTCACTATTTTGTCTTCTCTTCTTGTATACAGTTGCAGGAATTCAATAGCATTTAAAACTTTTAAAATTATATATATTATAAGTGCTCTGTGGAACAGAAATTGTAAGAGTACTTTTCTAACTTTCTTACGAATAGGCTTTTGATTTTTCATTGGTAAAAAAAATTTAAATTTGGTAAAAGTTTTATGAAGTTAATATAATCAATTGTTCATAGGCATCAGCTAAACAATCAAATGCATCATCTGATGTTGAGGCTGAAGAAAAAGAAATGAGTGTTTCAAAGGAAGATACTGACCATGAAGAAAAAGCCAGCAATGAGGTATTTTTAATTTCTCTTATATTCTAAATCTATTTTGTAGTAAGGAAGAAATTATAAAATGAGATGATTACTTGATTGCAAAGTAGAAAGTAATCTTTAAAGTGGTTGGGTAATGAATGAGATAATTTAAGACTTATTTCCTTGTGTAAATATTAAATACTATATTGTAAAATAGTTTTTGCATCCTTAATATGAATGGATGTTTTATTTGAGGTTATTTTGCTGTTCAGAATATGAGGTCCACCTGTAGGAGAATGGATTATTATTTGTTAGGAATATTTTTAAAGCAAGGTTTTGTGTAATGGATGTACTGAAAAGGTCATTGAACTGAATTTTTAAAAACCTAGGTTTATTTCAAACTGTAAATAAGGAGATTCATTTAACCCTTCTAGGCCTCGTGAAATGATTATTAGATGATCTCCAAAAATCCCAGCCACCTCTTAAAATTCAGAACTCTATGGTAGAAAAAGTGATTTCATAAATTTAAATATAAACTTTCTGGTGTGCTAACAAGTATCACTTTAGATTTGATCTGACAGAGAACAGAATTTTTACTTTTTGGCAAATAAACTGGCTATTACTTTGACCTTACAATGACAATGTTAAGGCTTTTTAAGAAAATAATTCTATTGATTTCAGAGAGAGGAAGGAGAGGGAGAGAGAGAAACATCAGTGATTGAGAGACAATCATTGCTTGGATGCCTTCTGCGTGTCCCCTACTGGGAATCGAGCCTGCAACCCAGCATGTGCCCTGACCCAGAATTGAATTGAACCACGGCCTCCTGGTTCGTGGATCAATGCTTAACCACTCATCCACAAAGGCTGGGTAATAATGTTAAGACTTAATGTTTATAATTTCAAAGGTTAGAGAAGCAAAACCAATTTCTCTAGTAATAGTAGTGAAGTGTGCTTTTGACTTTTAGTTTAAGAAATTTTCTTTCAGTCTTGGCAAAATTTATTTCATCTGTAATTTTTTTCTAGGATGTGACTAAAGCAATTGACATAACCACTCCAAAAGCTGCCAGAAGGGGAAGAAAGAGAAAGGTAATTTTACTGCTTAAATAATTTTTGAGTTGCACTAAGGAAGAGTAGATATAATGAAACCTTACCATTTAGCTTGAATTTTGCCTTTTTACTCATAATTACTTTAATTTTTTAAAGGGTAGGTTTTGTTTACTTATGAAAACTGTCTTTTGTTCTGACTGGTTTGGCTCACTGGATAGAGTATCAGCCTACGACTGAAGGGTCCCGGGTTCAATCCCGGTCAAGGGCATATACCTTAGCTGCGGGCACATCCCCAGTGGAGGGTGTGCAGGAGGCAAACTGATTGATGTTTCTCTCTTGTTGATGTTTTTAATTCTCTAACCTTCTCCCTTCCTCTGTAAAAAATCGAGAAAATATATATTTTTAAAAAAACAACTCTTTTTTTTTCTTTCTAATCTTCACCGGGGGATATGCTTCATTGATTTTAGAGAGACAAAGGGAGAGAGAGAAACACCTATTGGTTGCCTCCCATATACGCCCCTGCCTGTGTTCATACCTGCAGCCTGGTATGTGCTCTGACAGGAATCAACTCAAGGCCCCTCGTGCATGGGGCGATGTTCCAACCAACAGCCAAACCGGCCAGAGCAACACTTTTCTTTTCATAATGATACAGCATCTTCATGATAAGTTAAATGGCAAAGAAAATAAAATTAAGCAATTTTTATTCCTTTTAATGATGCTGTTGCAAGTTTATTTATGAAGTGGAAATAATATATACTAATGAGGTAGTTGAGAAAATTAAATGTTATACATATAATATTCAAAATAAATTATATATAAAGTGCTAATATAAGTGTGATCTATTATTATGTTATTCTCAGAAATTTGTTGCATGAAATGACAGTTTAGGAAAGCATGCTTTCTATGTTTTTAACTAATGTTTCTTCCCTATATGAAGTTTTTCTGACCAATTTTTATCTCAGGCTGTTGTACGTCAAAGATACAAATAAAATTATAGTTCAGTATCTAATGAGGAAATAAAATAGGAAAACAATGAATTATAGTGACTTTTTATCCTATATGGGAGGTGAGTAGAAGAGGCTATTATAACTTTAACCATATCTTAAATAAAAGGAAGAATTTTGTCAGATGAATGAAGGGATGGACGGGAAGGGCAAATGAGGCAGTTAGAATAATATACAGAGGTGTAGAGAAAATATCATTTCAAGTATTGCATTTCAGATTATCAGATCATAAAGTTAGAGGGAAAAGGGTACACAAAATATTTTATGTGGGACAATCTGAACTTGATGGGAAGCCATTGAAACACTTTAAATTTTAGATGCCTCCTTGTAAAGCAGTGTGAATGATGGGGATTAGATTGGACTGGTGAGATCAGTTTACTAGTTCATTCATTCAAATTTTAATATTAACTTCACTGGCCCAGACAGAGAATTGAGCAGTGAAGTAAAAAAGATAAGATCTCTGTTCTTGTTGAAGACAGACAATAAATACACAAAACAAGAGAGTTAAGTGGGGAGTTATGATAGTGACTTGGTAACTAAGTTATGGACCGCATTACTAAGGGAGTTCACATGAGATCGGAAGGACAGGTGTCTTGGTAGTGTAAGTGAGAGATGGGATTTAAGAGCACTTTAGGGAGTAAAGATGATAGTTGATGGGAATGGGTGTGAAGGGTGGGGGTAGAATCTAGTATGACTAAGGTCTTTTGGCTTGTATGACTAAATCCAATTCTGAGAATTCAGGAGATGTTGGTTTGGGAGTAGAGGCATGGGAAGGAGGGAGTGAAACACTTGTGGAAATAAGACTAAAGATACATATACAGAATGTCCCAAAAAATGAATATACACTTTAACAGCTCATAGCTCAATTTTGAAAATGAAACGTATTTTAATAAACACCACCTTTATAATTATTCAAAGTGTATGTATACATTGACGGGGGAAGAGAGGGAAGACACCCTGTATATATTATTCTGACACCAAGAGGGGAAAAGGTAAAAGTTATAAAGATGCCACCACTGGTATGAAGATGAAAGATTGTTTTTTTATAATTCCTGCTATGAACTGTCAGGATATCAAAAGGGAGAACAATTTGAAGAATGAGGGTGTGGTCAGTAGTACCATGGTGTAGAGGGTTTTCAGTAAGATAAGTAGCAGGATGCTTTAACGTTAAATGGTAAAACAGATTAAGTGTGCTGGTGAATAATATATTCAATGGTAAAATTACACTGTGTACCTGAAATCTTTAAAGGAAAGGAGAAAGAAGGCAGCAACAGGGATTTGCATGGTTAAGAGTGTTTAAAGTGGAAAAATACAGTAGAGAAATTAATGCTTCCTTGCAAAAGTAGGAAAGATCCAACATGTGGAAAGATGAGTTATTGTATGTAAGGACATGCTGGATGAGAGAGAAGGGAGGGCACATTACAAACAGACTTGCCAGCAAGAAGGAGTTGAATGACATTTCATCCTTTTTAACATTAAAGGGAAAGGTGGAGTAGGCTATTAAGAATTTTTACAGGGACTTGGAAATTCCTTCCTGCTGGCCTAAGTCTCTCCCTTCTCATGCACTCAATTCAAAGCAAGGTGTGGTATAAGGGGAGAAGAAAGAATTGCAAATTTATGCTAGTGAGGGGAGAAAAAGGTACTACAAAAGACAGGGTAAAGGATTAATGGGTGGCTTTGAGATCCCAACTGAGATGTACAAAATGAATCCATATTTGTATAATTATTTTCAGGAGGGCTCAGCAGCAGGGAATAATAGAGCAGGGAAAAGAGAGTTTTATGGTAATCTCTGTTGGGGATATGTGGGACAGGTGCAGCAAAACAACTATGCAGAGGGCTTGAAAATGAATAGGAACACTATATTTCATAAGGTGTGAGTGTGTGAGGGGTGAAATGAAGGGAGTAGAGATAGAAAGTGGAGTAATAAATGAAGAGAAAATGTGTCAAAGGGTTATAGGTTTGTTTCAGTGAGATCAGGTAAAATACAGAATAAATTAATTTAGTCAGAATATTAGCATTTAAAATATAAATATATGTACATGTGGAATAATATAACAGTCTTTTCTCTGGATGAAATATTTTTTTGTTTACTTTTATTTTCATGAGGAATGGAGTTTACTTGAATGATTTTGCCATAAGTTAAAAAGCATATCCATGGTAGAGCTGATTTTCCGTTTAGGATTAGGGTTATTTTTATTTCTGATATTAGTTACTGATGAACTTGTTACCTCTTATTAGAATCTCCTCAAAAGATTCATTCTACTTGTACAGTCTTATATTATTGTTTTTTTTAAATATATATTTTATTGATTTTTTTTTACAGAGAGGAAGAGAGAGGGATAGAGAGTTAGAAACATCGATGGGAGGGAAACATCAATCAGCTAGCTGCCTCCTGCACACCTCCTACTGGGGATGTGCCTCCAACCAAGGTATATGCCCTTGACCGAAAACGAACCTGGGACCCTTGAGTCTGCAGGCCGATGCTCTATCCACTGAGCCAAAGTGGACAGGGCTACAGTCTTATATCTTGATTTATTTGCACAAGATGTTTTATTTTTAAATATATTTTTATTATTGGTTTTAGAGAGGAACGGAGAAGGGGGGGGGGAGAAAGAGAGAGCAATGATGAGAGAGAAACATTGATTGGAAGAGGTTTTATTTTGAAGTGAAGACTCAACAGTTTGAACTGAATTTTATAGAACTTTTACTCTCTTAATGCCTCAATAGAAAAGGAGCACTCATAGTTCTGATATCTGATATCTTTGATATCTGAGAGACTTGGTAAAAACACAGCTCCCTAGGGTAGGGGTAGGTGGTTTGTAGATGCTAAAAATTCTGGAAAACAACCTGAGGTAATGTTTAGGAACAGTTTTCTTGAGAACAATTCAAGAGTTATAGTAGATGAGTTTATTAAGACTTTTAATAATGCTTATTATATGCATCATTATATTCTAATTATAAAGGCAAAAATGTTTAAAAAAAAACTAACAAAAAGAAAATGGATAAACTCTTAGAAGTGGGATTGCTGAGTTTGACTCGTATATTCTTTATTGCCACTGTTCATTCATAAAGATATTATTTCAGAAAGGTGTTACCAGTTTATTGAGCATCATTAATTATTATCTGAACTAGAGGCCTGGTGTGGGGGGTGGGCATGGGCAGTTGGCCGGCCCCAACCCCTGGTCGAACTCCTGGTTGAACGGACAATTTGCATATTACCCGTTTATTATATAGGATGATTATCCGTATCCTTAGCAGTATTGGGCACTATCTCATAAAAGTTTGTAAATCAGATTGTTAATTAAAGAGTCTTAATTTTTTCATCAACATTGGATTGTGCTTGCTTTTTCATTATTGCCTTTATTTTGTTGATCTAGTTACTGTTGAATTCTAAATAATTGGAGGTGGGGCAGCAGCTCATAGTGGTCCTCCCATTCTTCTCAGTTCTCTTTACTGTTTCTTTCTTCCCTTTTCCATTATGATCAAGATTGTACTTCCTTTCTAATTAGTGGTTCCTAACCTTTGTTCTACTTTAATACTTGAATCAATTAAATTGACTCTCATTTGGGGTTATTGTCTCTGGGGGCATTATAATCTACAAAGTGACATTGGGATTTATTTTCTACACTGTAGTAAATCACCCTGTATGGAAAATAAGAATAACAGTTTTCAGCCCAGCTGGAGTGGCTCAGTTGGCTGAGCATCAACATGTGCACAAAGGGATTGCTGATTCACGGTACATACCTGGGTTGCAGATCTGATTACTGGTTGGGCACATAAGGAGGACTGATCTATGTTTCTCTCTCTCTCTCTTTCCCCCTCTCTGTCTCTCTGTCTCTCTCTCTCTGCCTGTCTCTCCCTCTCTCCGTTTCCCTCTACTCCTCCCCCTTCCCTTTCTCTAAGAATGACCTCAAGTGAAGATTTAAAAGAAAAACAATAACAGACCTTAGTCCATTCAAAAATAAAATGTGTACAAGTTAACAGTTTAAAAAACAATCAGCACTTAATTTCTTGAGTTTTCTAATACTAGAATATTAACTTGGATTTTATGTTGTGTTAGCATTTTTAGATATTTAAAGTATATTTATAAAGAATGTATGTGCTGTTACAGTGTAATTATGTTACACTTTGGTTACTATTTTGCCTTGAGAGTATTACCTTTATGTTTCCAAATGACTTTTTTAGGTTAATAATATCTAAAAAGTGAAGTTTTTGCTTGTTTCATACAATTGCTCACTAAAATTATAAGCTAAGTTGAAGATCTCACTTGATGAGTCAACTTACGAAAAATAGCATATGAAAATTATGCATGTATTTGAATTTGTTAACTTAGAGTGGCATACTTTGGCCATTGACTAAAACTGAAATGCCTACTATTTGCTAAATAAGTTAATTAAATCTTTGTGATTCAGGCAGAAAAGCAAGTAGAAACTGAGGAGGCAGGAGTAGTGACAACAGCAACAGCATCTGCTAATCTAAAAGTGAGTCCTAAAAGAGGACGGCCTGCAGGTAGGATTAAAATGTTTAAAACTCTGGCTTATGATTAATGTTACAGATATTTTAAGTGTTGTGCCTCAGATTCTTTGGAATAGTTGGATAGGCAACTGGTTATGTATAATGTACAAGTTTTAAAGGAGTTCAATTTAGTTTCTGCTCTATGTAATGAAATGTTTAAATTTGAGATAATTGCTTGGGACTTGTCATTTTCTGTTTTATCCCTATTGTATTTTCCCCTAAAAGTGGCAAATGAGGCAGTGGTGAGGTTTAAATTATTATACATGAATGATGGGCTCGTTTTACCTCTTAACTTTAGAGATCATAAGCTTTCCAAATGGAGTCATAATGAAAGCAAGAGAAAGGGCATTTGAACAAAGTTACTAACATTTTTTAGCTAGAGGCCGGGTGCATGAAATTCATGTATGGGGGCGGGGCGTGTTTGTCCCTTAGCCCAGCCTGCACAATCTCCAATCTGGGATCCCTCAATCCAGGACTGCTGGCTCCCAACCACTTTCCTGCCTGCCTGCCTGCCTGCCTGCCTCATTGCTCCTAACTGCTTCTGCCTGCCAGCCTGATCGACACATAACTGCTTCCCTGCCAGCCAGATTGCCCCTAACTGCCCTCCCCTGCCAGCCTGGTCCCTCCCAACTGCCCTCCCCTGCTGGCCTAATCGCCCACAACTGCCTTCCCCTGCTGGCCATCTTGCGACGGCCATCTTGTGTCCACATGTGGGTGGCTATCTTGTGTGTTGGAGTGATGATCAATTTGCATATTACCTCTTTATTATATAGGATTATTACATTATTTGCTTAGACCCTTTACAGTATGTTGCTATCATCAGCATTGAAATTGGATTACAAATTTTTAGTTGTGAATCTACCTATACACATAATATTATAATATGTATATGAGCATTAGATACAAGTGCAACTCATAATTTTGTCATACTTTGTTAAAACAACAGTGAAGGATGTTCTTTTAAGTCCTCTCAGCCATACTAAGGACAGATTTAAAATTACTGTTATTCTCTCTCTTCATATTTTCAGCTGTTGCTCTTTTGATTTGTTAGAGGGATATTATCTTTACAACTTAAAATAATAGTATATCTAATAAGCCACTAAGCAATACTCCTCTAACATGGACAAAAGTATGTTTACAATTGTTTATATGGTTACGATTATTATAACTTAATTAACTCCAAAGAATGTCACAGTACACTTCAATACAATCCAATAGTGCTGATATTGCCAGCCTTCATTATTCTTGAAGTTTACCTGTTAGCTATCCTCAAGCAGAGTTCTTTTTTGCCATCAATAAACCTACTTTTGCCCTCTCTGTATATCATTTGTAATCTTTATATGTGAGATTTATATTTCAGAGGAAAGCTGGTAGTTAACAGAATTTTTTCCGTTAGCTACAGAAGCCAAGATTCCAAAACCAAGAGGCAGACCCAAAATGGTAAAACAGACCTGTCCTTCAGAGAGTGACATGTAAGTTCATTTTTGATGTATAAATAGTTATGCAATGTTAGACATCCGACTTATAAGCATAAATCTCTCTGCTTTTTTTTACTAGTTTTATTGTATAGGATATATGTTATTCTATTTTTCTAAATATTATGAGGAAAACTTCTCTTGTTTTTTATTACATAAAGTTAAAATTGATATAATAGAAAATGCAGGGTAAAACAAGTTTAAGGAAATTTTAGGCAAAGTGTTCTTGGAGCAATTTCCACAAATCTTTCAGAATAGCTTTCTTAAAAATGCTACTTAAAAATGCTACTTAGCCCAGCCGGTGTGGCTCACTGGTTGAGCATTGACCCATAAACCAGGAGGTCACGGTCCAATTTCCAGTTAGGGCACATGCCCAGGTTGTGGACTCTATATCTATACCCAGTGTGGGGCATGCAGGAGGCAGCAGATCAATGATTGTCTCATCAATATTTCTATCTCTCTCTCCTCCCTTCCTAAGAATGGGGGAAGAGGGGGAGAAAAGTGGCATAGAATTGCAACATAGTTTTAACTATTGCTGTGAAATTAAGTTAGGTACATATGCAGGTGAGTTTGTTTTTGTTTTAAAACATACCACATAGCCCTAGCTGGTTTGGCTCAGTAGAGCATTGGCCCTTGGACTGAAGAGGTCCTGGGTTCAATTCCAGCCAAGGGCACATGCCAAGGATGTGGGCTCAAACCCAGTAGGGGGTGTGCAAGAGGCATCCAATCAGTGATTCTCATCATTGATGTTTCTATCTCTCTTCTCTCCCTTCCTCTTTGAATCAATAAAAATATTTTTAAAATAATAAAAATGAAATGTTTTGTTTTAAAAATACATACCACATAAATCTCATTCATCCTGATCCTTAGATGAGTCATGACACATCTGGCTCTTCGTGATCAACATAAGGCTTTGCTCTAGATACTTAGGAACTGAAAACACAGGTTATCTGCTCTCCACTCCCCTTTAGACACCCATGTAGATCTGCGATGGGGGACCAAAATAAATATTCCCATTTGGAAAGGAGAGGTTTAAGAGGTGCACAGCATTGTTCATAGGAAATCTGAAATTATGCTGGGAACATACTGGGAGATCTCCCTTGATAAGTCTCCAGACTCCCTTGAGAGTATCCTAGTCCATTTTTCTCCACGGCTTTTGGCTGATTCCTTGGAGAGTTCTGTGCTTTTCATTATCATCCTGAGTTGCATGTGAAAAGTTCATTGGCAAATGTTATCCTCCTTACCAGCTGAGCAGTTCTTAGTCTGCTTTCAGACTATGATAAGTTAGAGGCCAAAAGTTCCTTTTTATATCTCCATTACTTTTGAAGTAGGCTGCTGTTAGTTTTGTAATAATACTGTATTGTTAGTATGTGTTGCATTCTAGTCAGCTTTGTATGCAGTGTGGTCTCACTGTCCAATCTCAGAGGGAAAGTGGGGATAGGTGGGAAGATATCAACCAAAGAACTTGTATGCATCTATAATAATAAAATCATAATATGCTAATTAGACCGAACATGCTTCCGGATGAAGCCAGTGGCCAGAGGGAAGCCAGTGCCGGCAGCTGGGAGAAGAAAGGCCCACCCTTGCACGAATTTTGTGTATCAGAACTCTAGTATGTGCACAATATTCATGGACACAGACAACAGGGTGAAGGCAGGGGGCAGGTGTGTGCTAGAAGGGGTCAATGGGGAAAAAAGGGGACATATGTAATACTTTCAACAATAAAGGCATATTTCCCAACAGGAACCAACCAGTAACCTCCTGTTTTATGGATTGGCACTCAACCACTGAGCCACACTGGCCAAGCATTCTTATCTTTTTATACTTAATTACAGGCACTTTGAGTTGGTTTTCCTGAGAGCACACCTCTTGGTTTCTTTATTCCATTTGTCTATCTGAAGGAGCAAGTGACTAAATTTGAAATCTTAAAGAAAGGCTGGCAGCTTACCCTTAATTGGATCTTTGACCCAGTTTTTGAATTTGAAAAAATTTTACAGGATAGAGGCAACTTTCAACATTGAAATGCATGAAATTTTTGTGTTGGTTTTGTTTTCATATTATTTTTTTAATCTCATTTCTTAAAGTATCCTATTTATCTTGGTAACAGCCAACTCGAGATCCCAGCATTCTACCTTGAAACCTCTTTACTGAAAGTCACAAGTTCATTGAATGTATTTTCTTTTGAGTTCTCACATGTGACAGTTTTGTCCATCCTATATGATTAGAGAGGAATATGCTAATTATCCATTGGGGTGTAATGACCAGATCACAGATCTGTAGGAGGGTGGGGCAGTGAACTACAAGTGGGCAGCTGAGAGCTACAACAAGGTAGCAGTGACTTACTGGTGCACAGAATCGTGTGCTGGGATACTATTTATATAATAGAGTTTAGTTTTCCAAACCAGAAAGGTTTTTCAAAGCCATCTAGGTCACATTTTATGTTTGGGTTGCTGGTATCACTTTCTTTGTACTAACAGCTTTTTGCTGAGGTGATGAACAGCTGCAAAAAGCAGTATCTTGCTATATTTTTAATTCATGCTATATGTAGGCTGGGATTGGCAATAGCCACTCTCGGATGTGGATCTGAAAACAAACTTAGTGGAATGAACAGCTAAACTGTATAGGTTCTTTTGAAACTTCCACTCTCCACCATGGGAACAGCATGTATCTGTCATTGACAGCTTCTCTGCAGTGGGTCTTGAAATGACATGACAGTGGAATAAGCCCAGAAGAAATGAAACCATCTCATAATGCTCATGTAAATTAAGAAATATTTGTTATAAGCCACTGAGATATTTTGGGTGTGTTTGCAATAGGCTTTGCTTACTTAAATATTATAAGACTAAAGAAATTTACAAATACAAATTTCTTTTTGTAACTTGACCTACTAAAAAGGAAAGTTGTCACTATGGGGAAACCTGTTTTTCATGGAAGGAGGTAAGGAAGACCAGTGAGAGAATTATTTTTTAGCAAGCAGTGATCATTACATTTTTGTAATTCTCTGCTTTGATATTATTCATTAAACCTTGAAATTATCTATTTCTTGCGATTTTAGGATACACTTTCTAATCATTTTTTTCTTTAAAAACAGCTGTATGGTATTCGATTGTGTATTATAATTCTTAAGATCCATCCCATTTATAGATCTTTCTTCCCCTCCCCTCCTTTTCTTGGTCAATCCTCATCTTAGGATCTTTTTCCAATAATTTTTGGGGAAAGGGGTGAAGGGAGAGGAGACAGAGAAACTTCAATGTGAGAGGGACACATCAGTTGCTTGCCTTCCATATGCATTCCAACCAACCAGGGTTTGAACCTGCAACTCAGGTATGTTCTCTTTACCAGGAATTGAACCAACGTTCTAAGCATTTAGCACACTGGCCAGGACTATATGTACATCTTTTTAAAGACACTATTTTCTAAATATACATGTACAAATATATTGGCAAGAATAAATTACTAGAAGCAGATGGGTTGGGACAAAGGTTATTTGCATTTTTAATATCTGCTTCCATCCATAGGGTGGGTAACATTTTTGGGGAGGCAAGTGGTCAGTAGCTAGTAAGAGCCATGAAAATGCTTTTTACATTGTACTCTGTTCCTATCTCAATTAAATTGATTATGATAAAAATATTCACATTTTTGGAAATATTAAAGAAAGTTAATTTTATTTCATGCTTTTTCTTCCATCCGTTAAAAGTAAAGGAAGAAATCCATTTGTGTGACAAAAATTTCTAAAGAGTTAAAGGGTAATTTTCTTTCTTTTCCAATTTAATAATCTCTCAAGGGTTCAAGGAAGCAAGTCTGGTAGGAGGTTATTGGGCAAATTATTGACTTTGCACTATCATTTTCTGATTTGTCAAATGGAATGGGTTGGACTTTCAACCCATTCCATTCCACTTTCTTATGAGTTATCACATGTGAGAGTTTTACCTTTCTATAATAATCTATAATAATAAAAGCATAATATGCTAATTAGATCCAATATCCGCAGCAGCAGGGGCCGAGGTAGAGGTGGCAGAGGCTCCTGGCTGCCACTACAGTGATGGGGGCCAGAACCACTTGCGTGGATTTTGTGCATCGGGCCTCTAGTTGTATAATAATATATTAGAGTTCAGTTTACCATCCAGTTAAAGCCAGGTCACATAGGCCCCTTCCAGCTTTCAAATTCATTGATAAATTGTATAATGTGAAAATTTCAGTAGAATTCCTTAAACAGTAAAAAAAAGGTTTGTTTCAAAACAGTTCATCCAAACTTCAAATTGTATTTCTTTTTACTTTAGTTGAACACACACACACAATAAGATTATGTGGTTAGCATCATTTGATTCTTCTAGAGCATGTTATAACATAAATACTCAGTTTTATCTACTGTACTTGTTACATAAATACTATCCAATGGTATGTTAGGATTAGTGAGCAATTTCAGTAGGTTGACTTATTTTAGTGAAATCTGAAATCCAGTGCTGATGGAATGCTGAAGTTCTCAGAGATAAGGAGTAGGGAGTCCATCACTGTTGATACTACACTTAATTGGTATTGTAGTTTATAAGTTGGGAGCCTTTTACCTTGTAAAGATTTTCTTTTAATTCTAAAATTACAATATTTGATCATTTGCAGTTCCCATGCGATTGTATTTTTCCCAGTGTTTCTACTTTTTAAACATAATTTCTTATAAAATATGTAGAATATAAGTTCAAAAGGTTCTGGGACTTTTACCATCTTGCACATTGCTATATCCACAGAGTCAAGAAAATGGCAACTTGTTTTATATATATATATATATATATATATATATATATATATATTTTCTCCCCCCCTCCGCCCCCAGTGAATAAGTACCATTATACAAAAGTAAAAAAAAAAAAAAAAAGGTGGGAGGGTGAGAATCACTTTCCTGTTAGCCCAAATCCACTATAGTTTTTGAATCTTGTAATTTATATAAAGGGGTGCTCTTCTTTTGTGACTGGATGATGGACTACCAATTATATTTTATTTAAAATTTTTTAATTAAAAATAAATTATAGCTTATTTTTAAACACTTATTTGGTTGACTGAGAGTTTAGTTGAATGACGAATGTTAATTATGCATAAAAGTTCATTTTCTATTGTTGCATTCTCTAAAATAGGGTAACTGAAGAAGACAAAAGTAAGAAAAAGGGGCAAGAGGAAAAACAACCTAAAAAGCAGCTTAAAAAGGATGAAGAGGGCCAGAAGGAAGAAGATAAGCCAAGAAAAGAGCCAGACAAAAAAGAGGGGAAGAAGGAACTTGAATCTAAAAGGAAAAATTTAGCTAAAACGGGGGTTACGTCAACCTCTGATTCTGAAGAGGAAGGAGATGATCAAGAAGGTGAAAAGGTAGAATGTTTTAACTATCAAATAAAATATTTATTTTTAGTTTGATAAATAGTTCTTTTTAAAAAAATATATGTTTTATTGATTTTTTACAAAGAGAAAGGGAAAGGGATAGAGAGCTAGAAACATCCACGAGAGAGAAACATCTGCCTCCTTCACTCTCCCTACTTGGTATGTGTCCTCAACCAAGGTACATGCCCTTGACCGGAATCAAACCTGGGACCTTTGAGTCTGCAGGCCGATGCTTTATCCACTGAGCCAAACCAGTTAGGGTTGATAAGTAGTTCTTTGAGAAAGTCTATAAATATGATTACAAGTTAAACTAAATTTCTTTACCTTTCTGAATAAACTTGAGTTAAACTGAATTTCTTTACCTTTCTGAATAAACTTGAGTTAGCTATGTTTAAAAGTATATTTTAAACTTTAATTTACTGTGCATTCTAAATTTATCTTGGCTCTTCAAAATTATATGATACTAAGTGTTATAAAAGTGTTAAAAATTAAATTTAGGGGATGACATTGTTTAACAGGATCATAGATTTTACTGAAATTCTTACTACTCTTTAGGCATACGCTCTACATTTTATCAGTGTTACTTTATTTGGTTACCAAGTTGCATAGGAATTTTGTTTAAGCTATTCGTCTTTTTCTTTGTATAGCCTTGGAGATATGTAGACCCAGGTTATATAGATCTTTTATTTTTATATGATTACTTGACACTTTAGAAGCCAAAAATTTCAAATTGGATAGATTGAGCAGTGTAGTTGTCACTAAACCAGTAAGATACTGACATACTTCATTTTAAGCTAAGGTCATCAATCCTATAGCAGTGCAGAAAATAGATTTTAGTTCCCAGAATCATAAAAGAAGAGTTAAAGTTAGTAAAAACATGTATAATTCTGAGATGAGCTAAATCCACCCTAATTCTCAAAACAGAAGAGAAAAGGTGGAAGGAACTTTCAGACTGCTCATAGGAGGAATATGCTGAAAGGCCAACATGAGAAAGAAGCAGCAGATAGAAAACGCAAGCAAGAGGAACAAATGGAAACTGAGCAGTAAGTATTTTCTTGTTCTAAATTTTGACTTCTTTCTAAAGCTAGCATGACATTTTTAAACAATGACATCTTTTTCCAGACCTTAAGAAGCCTTTTAAAGTGATTTTTTTTTCCTATTACATAGTCCTAATATTAGTAATAATTCTGTTTTAGGATCCCTTCTTTTCTAAGAGGGTGAAATTTATTGAGGGTAATCACCCTTTGTATTTTTAATCTAAACTCAAAGTGCAGATAAGATTTTACTGTTAGTGGCTCTGTAGAAAGTGTCTACATCCTCTACTATTTATTTGTATAATGTTAAATACAGAAAGAATGGAATGAAATATCCTTATTGTCATACCACCAGCAGGCCCCCCTCAAAAGACCAGCAAGAATAACAAAAGCACAGCTGGAAACCTAAAAGCCAGTAAATCTAAAGGCATCAGGGTTTGCATTAGATGTGTATAATATAAATCTAGTTCAAACCTGATTTCTCTTAAAGTTCCCATACTTGAAGATACTATTATATATACTTAACATAGGGAATTTTCCCCTTTAATTTTATTCTACAAAATAATTTGATTGGAAGGAAAATGGCAATGATAATTAGGCTTCATGTGTTACATTTGTTTTCCTAATTACCTTTAGACTGTCACTTCTGAGTTCTTTCTCTGAAAAAAATATTTTGCTGGCATTATTCTGACTAAACTTTTTTTAGTGAAGTGATTTTAAAAACATGCTCCAGGTCACTAAGAGACTTAATGATAAGCATTAATTCTTTAGAGTACCCTTAAACTTGTGCTTTTTCTTCATATATTTGTAAGCCAAAAGCCTTTCTTTACAAGTGTAACATTTGACCATCTGCTTTCTTAGTTTGGAAGATATATAAGTGGTTTCAGCTGCTTGAGGGAGTAATAAAAACTGATCTAAAGCTCAGAAATGGTACTCCCTTTTATCTGTTAGACTAGACTTTTACCATTTCTGTGATTAGTAGTTATTTTTTCTTCCTGTCCTTTTCAATCCTTTCACTGAAAAGTTGTTGCATTGTTTGTTTTAACTTTATTGTGCTCTCCATATTAAGATATAAAATTAGCCATTGGTTAGTAAAAAATCTAGCCCAATCCTTCCTTAATAATACGTTACCTTTGTGTTTCAGTTTCTTTTTTAATGTCCTCCGAATGTAACTTTCTTAAATTCTAATATTTGTGTTTTCTTTCCTTCTCCTGTTATTACAAAACTTTGTACTTGGACAGTTTTGCTCTGTAAAGCATTTCAGATGCAGCTTGTGTGAAATGCATTATGCAAAATAAAGTTTATTGTATTGTATTCCCAGCCAAACAACATGTAATCTACAGTAATAAAACATATATCTCATTTTGGGCTCAAAGCATTAATCCAGTTACTGAAAAGAAAATACAAGTGGAGCAAACAGATGAAGATCTTGAGACAGACTCATTGGACTGAATTTCCCCTTCCCCCCCTTTGATGGAAGAATGTTCCAGATACTAAATTGAGGACTTCATTAATGGCATTAATACTGTGTTATGATTGTTAAATTTTCTGTAAGGTACACACTACATAATAAGGTTGGGAAAAAGTTTTTTCCAAGCTTAAAATGAAGCTTTGTGTGTGAAAATTAGAATAAGCTGGAAACATGGTGGTTGTACATTATTTCATTTAGAAAATATAAACTTTAATTTTGTTTCGAAGTTAGGTGTTAAACTGGAATAGTTATCATACCCCAGACATTGGGGCAGTTGTGCCCTTCCCTTGACATTCCTTTGTTGTTTAATTCTTTAGAATCTTAATTGTTTTTTTAATCGAGAGATTAAACATAGCCTTGTTAAGAACAAAAATGAAACTGTAACCAAAATTTTAAAATAAAGTTTTTTTTAAAAAACACCCTGATTTTTAGATATTTTTTGTTCTTGTCTATTCGAATGTTTATAAGGCTCAAACTCCAAGCCAAGGTACTAGAAATTAATAATTCATTTTAAATGGTTATTTATAATAGCATATTACCTTTTCATTTGTGAAATGGTATGTAAATGTTAGTGAATATCATCTAAGCTTGACATTGGCAAAAACATTTTTATAAAACAGTATTATCTTTTAAACAGCCTTTTTAATGTGGAAACGAGCTTCAAACTCTTGAAATTAACCTTCGGGGATATGGGAACAATTAAACCAGTCTTTTATAATACGTTACTTTTTAAAGTAAGTGTGATGTAGAATTTATGAAACAATTATAAGCATTCTCACTGTCAGTTGGCCCTGATACTGGTCTTGCAACGATACACAATTTACTGTTGAGAAAAAAATTCACCATGGCGACTATTGAAACTTTATTTGCGATGCCAATAAAACATTAGATCGTTAGATTATTTACAGCATTTTTTTTTTTACAAGTTCTGCTTATATTTATAGCAATTAATGCTATGGCATTGCAGAGTTCTAAAAATTAGTTACTTATGATCTAGGCTATTGACTTACTATTTTAAAGAAAAAGATTTTAACTTTACATAAGGGATTGTGAACATTTGATAGTCACAAAGTTCCAATGTTTCAAATATTTGTGTTAACATTTGATAGGCAGAATAAAGATGAAGGAAAGAAGCCAGAAGTTAAGAAAGTGGAGAAGAAGCGAGGTTAGTTATTTCACTTTCTAAGATGATTTAAATTATACATAGAAAGGAAATCAAAACTTTCTTATGTGTAGGTTTTAAAATATGTCATTTCATGTTCTTAAATCATACAAATAAATTTTAAGTTCCTAATGAATTCTATATAGATTGCCTGTATTATAAGTATGTAATCAAGTGAACTTGCTAATGAGTCATTTGTTTTCATGCTCATATGATTAAGTCAAATTTTTGCAACATTGCCAAAAGCTAGATATTTCCCCACTTTTTTTTGACAAATCTGGTTTCAGATAGAAATTGTTTTTCCTTAAACGTGTAAGGTGAAGCAGATGTTTAAAAATTAAGAGTCTATTGGGTACAGACTGCTTATTTTACAAATATGAAACTACGTAGATGGTGAGTTTTCCCTTATATAATGAATGTTGCTTTCCTAAACCAAATACTAAGAACGGCAGATAACTTCTTAGTGATGCAGGAAGGTTTAAAAAAATTTAAAAAATTCACCAAATCTTTCCATTATACTTTGCTTGTTATACAGAAATACTGGTTTTGGAAAAACTGTTTACTGTTTCACATTTTAATTTATAGAAACATCAATGGATTCTCGACTTCAAAGGATACATGCTGAAATAAAAAATTCACTCAAAATTGATAATCTTGTAAGTGTTTACCTCATTTAAAAATACAGTACTGCTTTTATAGCTTCATATTTTCTTAGTTTTATAAATATGGATAAATTTAAAGTAAAAGGGACTATCACTGGTTACTTTATACTGCCTTGTTATTTGAAAATTTAAAAGTAATATTTAAAAGTAGATCATAAAGGTTGTGGTAATTAACAGTTATAAAATTGCTATTTTATAAAGGATGTGGACAGATGTATTGAGGCCTTGGATGAACTAGCTTCACTTCAGGTCACAATGCAACAAGCTCAGAAACACACAGAGATGATTACAACACTGAAAAAAGTAAGTGATCTTAAGTCATGCCGATTTTTAAATTTCCTCAAAACCACTGCACTAAAAAGTAGCATTTAAAAATCAATTGGGAAAATAATTATGAATGTACTTTGTTTTCTTAGATACGACGATTCAAAGTGAGTCAGATTATCATGGAAAAATCTACCATGTTGTATAACAAGTTTAAGAACATGTTTTTGGTTGGTGAAGGAGATTCAGTGATCACACAGGTGCTGAATAAATCTCTTGCCGAACAAAGACAGCATGAGGAAGCTAATAAAACCAAAGATCAAGGAAAGAAAGGGCCAAACAAAAAGCTAGAAAAGGAACAAACAGGTATGTTTGTGGTAAATTCTTTGTTGGGACTGCTTTTAAGAAAATGAGTTTGATATATGTCATTAATACCTTATCTACATTAAATTACAAAAAGGTCTCTTCTGTATATAGCAGAATTTAGTAATATACTTAACCTTAGCTTCTGTTTTTTCTTTTTCAAGGTTAAATTAATAGTAAATAATGGTGTTTACTATTAGAGTTGACTCTTGGACAATGTGGGCGTGAGGGGTGCCAACTCCTTTGCAGTAAAAAATCCATAGAACTTTTGGCTCTCCCCAAAACTTAACTACTAATAGCCTACTGCTGACTGGAAGCCTCAATGGTAACAGTCAACTAATACATAATTTGTATATGTATTATAGACTATATTCTTAAAGTAAGCTTGAGAAAAGAAATTGTTATGAAAAACAGAGAGAAAATATATTTACAGTATTCGATGAAATACTACAGTTCAAACCCATATTGTTCAAAGATCAACACTATTAGTAGTAGTTATTCTCTTAATTGAAATTAGGAAAAATTTCTTACCTACACAAAAGTAAAGAGAAATTAACTTTCTTTATTCCTCTATCACCAACTTGAGCACCTAATACAACAATAAGTGATCGTTCTATCGTATAGTCCCATCAAGTTTTTCTGTGACATCCCTGAAGATTATTTCAAAGCAAATTCTGGATAATGTCATTTGAACCATAAATATTTTAGGATGTTATCTGGGATAGACTCTTAAAGAATAATCAGTACCTGAAATTCCATGTTATCGAAAGTCATAGCAGCAGCCGCTTAATGTAGAAACAACGTTCAGAAGTTGGATTTTTGTGCTCATTTATTAGGGAATCTATACAGGTTAAGTTTACATGGAAGCCTTACTGTTTACTTAGTAATAAGGCATAAAATCATGTTAGGAAGTAATATTTTTGACATTTTTTTGTTCTAAAATATCATTAATTTATGAGATTTTGTGTTTTTTTCTCTCTGAAAATATAATGAATCATAATGCTCCAAAGAGCTGCACTACCCTCTTGCTGATAACAGTGACAAATGGGATAATCAAACTAATGACAATACCTCCTGTTCCTGTGACTATGTGCAGCAGCCCTGCTTCTTACTGTGTGCCTCAGGTCTACCTAAGGATTACAAATAAAACATGTTAAGTGTAAGAAGTTTCAGGGCCATGTTTTATTTTTGACTTTGATCTTTAGAGGATATCGAAAGTACTAGATGCTCTAACAGTTTTTTTTCCGTTGGACTCCTCCTAAAGGTTCAAAGACTCTAAATGGAGGATCTGATGCTCAAGACAGTAATCAACCACAACACAATGGCGATAGCAATGAAGAAAGCAAAGATGAGACCAGCAGTAAGAAAAAGTGAGGACATGTTTTAATGGGTTGTAATGTGTTTGCTTTTTATATCACATCATTGTTCCAAAGTTGTTTATAGAAGGGATTATATTTTGGTCAGTTCCTGTATTCAGTAAACAAGATACAAAAAAGGCAAAAATCATAAAAAATCTTTATTTCCCACTAATTTGCCACTGTATTCAAAGGAATAGCTAGGCAGGAATCCAGATTTTAAAAAATAACTATTCTTTCTTGGACTAAGTTAACTAAATACACCTTTAATAATTGACTTAGGTTCATACTTTCTTGAATTGTGACCGGAGAAAAAAAATAGATCTAGAATCTCAGGATATTTTGTATTATGATACCCACTCTAGATATGGAGACATAATTACCATGTTCATGGTTTGTTCCACTGTATATTAAGACAAGGAATCAAGCATCCCTTCTAATTCTGAAATTCAGGGAAATCCTGTGTAACATCACATCTTTTCAATAAAGATGGTATCACAGGCATATAGCATTTTCACGTTCTCTAAAGAAAACCATTTTAAAATAGGAAATGATGGAAAGGGCCTGATGCTTCCCTGAAATACAGTGCTTGATCTGCATATTATTGGGAAGATAGAACATGGTAAAAGTTTCAACCAAAAATAGTAACTCTAAATCTTTGGTGATTTAAAAAAAATCCCCTAATCCCAGTTGTCACACCTTTTTCCCCCACTTTTCTTTAGGCCATCCAGTGAAGAGAGAGAGACTGAAATATCTCTGAAGGATTCTGCGCTAGATAACTAGGTTGACATACCTGGAATATAAAGAACATTTGAGAAGTTTGTAATGGTTTTCATTAGAAGTATTTAGACTGTTGAAAGTTTTACATTTTTATAAACATAGGTTTTGATGTTTAAAACTTGTTTTAGGGAAGAAATTCATTAATCTTTGTTTAAAAGTAATTAAACATTGCTTAATTGTACTTGTGCAGTATTAACAGCTCCATTATACAGTAAATGTGAGGGAAAAGTCATTTAGGAAATTTTGAGCTGCTTTTTAAGACATTGGTTGTAGCATATTTTCAATTAGTGTATGTATGTTAATGTGTAATTGATAGTGGAAAAAAATTACATTTTTAAAACTTCTTGTATAAAACTTCCTCTTTTCCCCAATACTGTGGGTTTTGTGCATAGTTTTTACAAACTTGGATTTACCAGACTGTCTTTTAACTGTTTGTGGTTTTTGTAGGTTACACATTTTTATGGTAGATAAAATGTTAGTTCTATATAATTACTCCCTGCCAACTAAAATTAATCTCAGTCTACATTGTGCTATATTATCTGCTGCTTTGTAACAATGTGTCATCTGTATGCCTTTTTGTAAGAAAACTACATTATCAACTGACATTGAACTAACAATTCCACAAGGTACAAAACTCATGTTAACTTTATAAAGTAATTTAATATTGTGGCTGGCAATTTTGCAGTCCCATGACTTTCCTGACAAAGCAGAATGGCTGTATATAGGAATGAATCTGCCTCTAGGGTTCAGCCATCTAATAAGATCCTTTACATGAACTGTATAGCTGAAACTGAAAACTAAATAAGTTTATTTTTGAAACATTTCTGAAATTTTTTTTAAAAGTCACCCATTAAAGTCACTGAGTATTTTTTTAATTGGAAAACAATCCATGATGCTTATACAGTAAATGATATATAAGGAAACTAACCTATTTGAAAATGGCCATATCAAAAAGAATTTTATTTCTAGATCATACATGTGACAGGATTGCAAAAATTGGAAATATTCATTGCTTTGAGGCAGCAGACAAAGGAGTGGTGTTAGGCTTTTATTATAGTCTGAACATTCACTTATATGGAATAAATCAGGGTGAACCAAGTAACCCAAAAGACTTAAGGCTAACTTTTAACAGATAGTATTTCTAAGATCATTTGATGAGGTCAGTTGGTTTTTAGTAGTTAAAACACTTGTTTTGAAACTATGAATATGGAGAAAAGGCTTTTAATGCTTAAGTGTTTGCATGTGGCATACATTGTATGTTTTGACTGCTCAGATAATTTTGTTTTCATCAATTGATGAAAAGTTTAATTATTTCAGTAGTTGGAATTTTAATTTTGAGAGGTCTTAAAATGGAAGCAAGGATTCGGTGTGTTTTGAGGGAATTTTTGCTATTACGTATATTTGTTTGATCCTTAGCACTATTAAGATTTGGACAGATTATTCTAGTAAAGCCATAAGTGTTAACATGTAAACTTCTTTTGATTAAAGAATTTTTTTTTTTTAACAAACTGTACTAGTAAGTTACTTCTGTGCTATGTATAAAAATGTGTTGGAATTCTGGATTTGCTTCCAAGGGAGTAATTTCTTTGTGTCATCACAGATATCGTGTTGTTTGGAGAAACAGGGAAACTAATAAGCTCAAAATGTCAAAAATAAAGGTAATGTTATTTTTGGTTCACCCTCCCTTTTTATTCTGTGACCCAGCAGGTCTTCATAGCTTACCAAGAGTACGTTCTTACAACAGTCTAACCAGTCTTAATCCTCATTTAAAGAAATTTCTGTCAACGATTCACAAAATCTCAGAACTCTTAAGAAAAAGCCATATAAGTAATTACCAAGAACTTTCAGGAGCATTTGCTTAATTTAAATTTGCTTAATTTAATTTGATCAAAATTCCACAACTGGATAAGTCACTTAAAAGATCATTTAAATGAGAGCTAGGACCGCTCCCTTAACCCCCACCCCATATTTTTGGTATGTTTTTATAATGCATTTTCACAAGAGTAAATTAGGCTTGCCTCAGCAGAATCAATTGTTGATTTTCTCACATGATTTTGAAAACTTTCAGAAGTACCATCTGAATCAGAGAACCTGAATCGGACTTTATCTGTGTCAATAACTTGACTGGAATACTTTCAGCCTTATAAATGCTGTTATGTCATGTGGTTTCAAGGAGCAGGGTAATAAAATGGACCATAGTGTACTCACACACTTACCTGGTTGAAGATGCCAGGTCAAGATGAGGTGGCTTGTAGACAAGCAAAAGCTTCTACAGGGCTCTGAAGGCTTCAGTAACAACTTTGTCCCACTGGACTGGCCAGAGAAAGGGCGATCTATTGGAAATAGCAAATCCATAATTACACCTTAAGAAAAGAACCTACAAGTATAGGCAGAAATGTGTTCAGATTTGTGCTGTGTATTAACTTGAGAGGATAAGACATTGTGATGTGATTGGAATAAATGTCAAAGTATCCTTCAAGGGTGCTGAAGCCTGAAAGAGATGTTTAAGGAAACAGGCACTGCTTTTACGGACAGTGATTCTGTGATGACTATGTCCATTATTACATCAAATCTAATGCATTTCTAAATACCGAGGATGTTCACTCAAGTTCACAGCATTTTCACATTTGTTTTCTTCATTAGATAAAATAAGTAACTTTAGTCATGTTGTATTTAACACTGAAATTTGCAGCTATAAAATCTCTGACAGAAAGTATGTTTTATGCCAGTGTGAAAGTTGGGAGATCTGTTTAACTGATATATAATACATTGATAAATTCTGGGAGTAACCTCGTTGGATTAGCCATTTAGATTTTACCAGGAAATGAAAGCAGATATATAAGCCTTTGTAACATTGGTGAAAAAATTAACCTTAAGAAGCAGGATAATATTCTTAGTGATAAAACAAGAATTTCAGTAATAGTATTATTTTAACTACCATATTTTTCGGACCATAAGACGCACTGGACCATAAGACGCACCAGTTTTTAGAGAAGGGAAATGAAGAAAAAGAGATTCTGAAACAAATAGTGTCCTAAAATATTTTATGTGCATTAAAACCCAACATCACAGTCATAAATACATGTAATCAACCCTGTAAACAGCAGCATTTAGAACTATTTTAGAGCCGGGCAAGCACACAGAGACCACACAGAGCCGGGCAAGTAAAAAAACTTTTTTTTTAAAGTATATGTGTAGGCTATATTTGGACCATAAGACGCAGGGACTTTTCCCCCCACTTCTGGGGGGAAAAAGTGCGTCTTATGGTCCGAAAAATACGGTAATAGTCTTCTTTATCTACTAAAATAAACTGGCACCAGAAATTATCAATGCTTCTGATAATTTCTGGAATTCTGGTTTTGAGAATATGAAGTGGTGAAAATGAGTTTAAAAAAATACATACTATTGTAAAACCTATAAGGAATGAAGTTTAACAATAAATTCATTTTTACCTGTGGAACTTTGAGGAATTGGTTAAATCTGGTTTTCCAGCAGAATTTTAAATTAGTACAATTTACCATTGTTGGAAACAGGAAAAGTAAAAATTTAGGTAATAGCTTATTTGGACCAACTGCTCACTTATTTATATTGATTCTATGGTGTACTGACTGAAATCAGTGAGTAAGAATACCGCTAGACATACTAGAAACAGGTGCTGTCTGTGGTCTTGACACCAATAGACTTAACTGGATATGTTGCATTTAAGTCCATAAAACATTTTACTGCCAACCTTTAAAACACATAGGCTTAGAGGCTTCAATCAGTATTTTATTTCTATGGTTAATGTCTGTTCTTACCCATCCAGGGAGTGTGGAATTTAGTTGAATTTATAAATATAACCTAGAAGGAAAGTGAAGTTTTAAACAACATTTTAATTTCCTACCAAAAAACAACACAGGTTTCCAGAAAAATTTCAAAATAGGAGTTACAATTTTTCCTGATGATCTAAACCAGTGTTTCCCAAAGTATGGTACGCGTACTCCCAGGTTTGGTGGGGATATGCACTGCTCCGTGCTTAGCTGCGCCTAATTCTACGTTCTCATGAGTACGAGGGGTACTCAGTGTTAGGAAAATTATAGAAGGGGTACACATATGTCAAAAGTTTGGGAAACACTGCTCTAAACCTTGGAATTTTCATAGTTGCTCTTTGGCCCAGAATGAGAGAAGAAAATAAATAGAATTATAGGGAGCCAAAAGAATGAAGAGCTGAGCAGAAAAAAAATGCTGGTGTTTTTATATACAGGATACTGAGTGTTATTGCCCAAGAATAAGTGAGCCAGAGCTAGCAATTCATAGGATCTTGATTTTCCATGTCCCACTAGTCATAGTACATGAAATCTTTGAATCATAAAAATATTAAATCAACACTTTAAACTCATACCATGTGATTCACAAAGTCAAGAAATGAAGCTTCAATTTAAATGGTACTTATGTAAAGCTATGAGCATATATATTCAAGATCTTATGTTCATTATTCATGTAATGAGTCTACTATTAAAGTTTTTACTGTATTGCATAGCAAGCATGGCTCAGTGGGTTGAGTGTCGATCTACGAACCAGAAGGTCATGGTTGGATTCTTGGTCAGGGCATATGCCAGGGTTGCAATGTGAGGTGTGTAGAAGGCAGCTGCTCAATGATTCTCATCATTGGTGTTTCTATCTCCTCACCGAAATCAATAAATATACTTTAAAGTAAAATGTTTATTGTCCATAGTTCCTACCAAAATAAGAGCCATCTGAGATTATTAGATATTTGAAAAATCTTTACCTTGGAAGCCTCATGATATATGGTGTTCACATTCTTCAAATAATTTTCAAAGTACTTCCAACACTTGATGTAACACTAATTGAATTTTGCTAATGATTAGCAGAAAAGTAGTTAGGATACAATGAATAGGCAAGCCATAGACTGGGAGAAAATCAGAATACATATACATGGCAAAGGATTTATATTTAATATATAAAGCACTCCTGTAAGATAAATACACTTAAGATGGGCAAAATGCACTGAACTAAATATGAACTATATTGTGTAATAGTAAAATATATTTTTAATCATTTAAATCAAATTACTTTATAAGAAAATCTGTAATTTCAAATTTTGGGGGTGGAGTGAAGTTAACTTTAGCTGATTATTTCAGGTTGGTCATACTCTTACAGTGTACACTTTTTATTGGTTATTAATTAAACGTTCCAGGATCAACATAAGGATAAGCGAGGAATTCTCCCAGTTTGTTGCCTTCTGAGTCATAGTGAAGCATTCGGAAGCAAGCATCACAAAAGAAACATGGATCATCTGGTGCAAAACTGTCATTGTTGGTCACCCATCTGTAGTTTAAAAAAAAAAAAGATAATCAACTTTCTCTTGCTGTGAATTATGACTTGTAATATATGTAAATATAACATTCCCACGATTAACTCCTCATCCTGTATTATTCATAATTATAATACTTTATAATATATACTCGTATTTTCCGGCGTATAAGACAACTTTTAAAACGAAAAATAGTCAACCGAAAATTGGGGGCAAAAGATCAAAATTGCACAAAAATTACCTGCAGATCTTGACGGCAAAGTAAGTCTTGTCTTTGAAGTGGGGGGTAGTCTTATACAGCGAATATAGGCCTAAACCTATGTTTTAACTGTAAAAATTAGGGGGTCGTCTTATACGCCAGGAAATACAGTATATACAGATATTTCATTAGCAATACTCTACAAGGCAAAAGGGCAACTAACAGAGAAACTGCAGGTTTCTCTGAAAGGACTACTTGAAGGTAAGTAGAGAAGAGTACAAATCCATAACTGAAAGCATCATACACTTAATTATGGCATGCCCATCCAGTAAACTGTCAACATGAACATAATCCTTTCCTTCTAATAGGCCATCTTGAAAAGCAAGTTAGATGCTATAGATCTGGTAAACTTTTGCTTAATTTATCTAACTAGTAAATTAATACTGGTTAATTTAAAAACTTCAGCTGTTTCAGAATTCAGGATAAAACACATATATGTATGAGATATGTGCACCTTTATTCAACTGAAATGTCTTGACTGAGATGTTACTAGTCACAAGAAAATGCTTTTTCAATTTATCTGAATTCTGTTCTCTCATGGAATGTTTTAACATCCCTGGATTCCCATTTTGATCTAATAACTGATTGATGCTTTCCTATTTATCACTTGGAAAAGCATGTTGTGGTGAGGAACCCAAAACAAAGATTAAATGTTGCTCAGCAAACAATTTCCAATCGTTTACAAGCAATGGGAAAGATTTTAAAGGAAGGAAAATGGGTGCCACATCAACTGAACAAAAGACAAATGGGAAACCAAAAAGTCAGTAAAATATTGCTTCAACAGCACAAGAGAGTCTTTTTTTTGCATTGAATTGTGACTGGTGATGAAAAGGGTTTATTTTGAGAATCCCAAAAGCACAAAATCATGGGTTGATCCAGGTCAACCATCAACATGGACTGCAAGGCCAAACTGCTTCAGAAAAAAGGCAATGCTCTGTGTGTGGTGGGATCAGGAAGGTGTGTTATATGATGAGCTTCTGAAACCAGGTGAAACCGATAATACTGATGGCTACCTGACAATCTATTTGAACCATGCTTTGATTGTGAAACCACCAGAATGTGCCAGAAAACACGGCAAAGTAATTTTGCTTCATGGTAACGGCACCATCACACACTTCAAAACAAGCTAAAGACACGTTAAAAGATCTTGCCTGGGAAGTATTAACCCACCCGCCATATTCACCAGACCTTGCTCCTTCAGATTACCACTTGTTTTGATCGATGGCACATGAACTTTCTGAGCAGCATTTCAAAACATAGGAAGAAGTAGAAAATTGGGTCTCTGAATGGTCTGCCTCAAAACAAGAAAATTGGGACGGTACGCACAAATTACTTGAAAGATGGGGAAATGTGTAGCTAGCGATGGTGGGCATTACTTTGAATAAAGCACTTTTGATGTTTTTCTTGAAATTGTTTTCTTTGATTACAAAATCTGCCATTATTAACCGGTACACCTAGAATATATATTTTAAATATATTTTTAATTGATTTTGAAAAGGAAAGGAGAGGGGAAGAAACATCAATGATGAGAGAGAATCATTGATCGGCTACATCCTGTATGCTCCCTACTGGGGATTGAACTGGCAACCTGGGCATTTGCCCTTGATCAGAATCAAACCCAGGACCCTTTAGTCTGCAGGCTGACGCTGTATCCACTGAGCAAACAAGCTAGGGCTATAAAACCATATTTTGACCTCATATGTGAGATGCTGTGTTAGTTTCTTTTTCTAAAAAAAATAAAATAACGTTTTTATTAATTTTTTTCTTTTTAAAGAGAGGAAAGGAGAGGGGGAAATATCAATTGGCTACTTCCTGCATGCCCCTTACTGGGAATCGAGCCCACAACCCGGCTTGTGCCCTGACCGGGAATCAAACCAGTGACCTCTTGGTACATGGGTAGATGCTCAACCACTGAGCCATACCTACTGGGCTGTGCTATCTTTTCATTGTGGAGAAACGACAGATGAGGCTGATTTTGTAAACTGCAGGGGAAAGGAACATGGTTCCCTGATGACACTGACCACTGTCAACTAAACTTTTGACCTACCCCTGGACTAATGCTGTAGATGTTTTAAAATGCAGTTGTAATCTAATCTGTTCTGCAGCACTTCCCTACTAAATAGGAAAACCCTTTATATTATTACACTCCAAAGTATAAGCCCTCAGATTCAACTCAGAAAAAAATTGAAATACCAAAGTAAAAAAATACTTAAATACTGCTGAAAAAGAAAAAAAGATAACCACTTACCTGGCTGTGTACATTTTACAAACAAAACATTTTCTGGTCCATAGCCAATGCTTCTTGATAAGAAGGGGATAAAGTGTCCTATCCAAGCAGTCATCCCGATGCACAAGCCTTTTGTAAATGAGAAAAATAAATGAAGCTATTAAATTATACAAATTTCTGTGATTTGTAAAGAATCAAACATATAACATAGTAGGTTTTTTTTTCTTTTTCAAATTTTGCTCATAAAAGTTTTTAATATACGTTGACCTGCACACCAGGTTTGACCAAATTGTGTTCCATGAAACACTTTCTCCAAAAGAGCATTTTGGATCAAACAATGCTTTCTATGGAACTTTCCAAATCCCTTCATTGTAACATGCACAGTGACTTTCTGAGATGATATATGCAGCATTTCTTGCATGTATTCCATCACAGAATCCTTGCTTTACTTAGAACTTAGTACCTTTTTATGAAACACTAGAGGCCAGGTGCATGAAATTTGTGCACAGGTAGGGTCCCTAGGCCTGGCCAGCGATCAGGGCCCATCTGGGGCAATTGGGGGTTGCAGCCAATAGCCTCCCTCTGGGGGCAGCTCCTGTGTTGAGCATCTGCCCCCTGGTGGTCAGTGTGCATCACAATGACCGGTCCTCCCACTGTGTGGTTGATTTGCACAGTAGGCTTTTATTATATATGATAGTTTGAGCAACTAATTTATCTAAGTATTTTATCTAGCTATTTACCTAGATTAACTGGTTATGTGTCACAACAGGGCTCTTGATTACTAAAGCCTCTATTAAAATCTAAATCTGATTCCTGGTGTAATATGAAGTGGCAGGGCTTTAAGATATTGTGAGTGAAAATTAATCTTTATGCTACTCATCAACTGAGTGGGTTTGGGTAAGTCCCTTAACCATGCTGGACCTGATTCTTCATCTGGAAAAAGAAGGGCTGCTCAAGAAGTATTCTAATGGTTCCTAGTCTGACATTCTAAAATTTTGTTATTACTACTTTTTCTAATTTTATTGATTTTTTACAGAGAGGAAGGGAGAAGGATAGAGTTAGAAACATCAGTGAGAGAAATATTGATCAGCTGCCTCCTGCACACCCCCCACTGGGGATGTGCTCGCAACCAAGGTACATGCCCTTGACTGGAATCGAACCTAGGACCCTTCAGTCCACAGGCTGATGCTCTATCCACTGAGCCAAACCGGTTAGGGCTATTTTTTAAGTAGGAAATTAGCAATATATCAACTTCACCATCAGAAGTTTGACTAATAAACTTTTTTGAAACAATGTACTAATAAACTATGGAATGGCATATGATTAAATCCACCTGTAAGATGAAAATGACAGTCTAAATCACGCTCCAAATTGCCCTTAATTTAAGGAATAACACTGTGCAGCAATATGCCTACACAATAAGAAATGTAAGAGCAGCCAGAACAAAATTTAAAGAACACGTTATTCAAGAAATAAGTGTATATAACTTTGAAATTCATACAAATCTATGGTTTATGCGCTCTCCTGGCTCTTCAAAAGTTCTACCCAAGGGACAATTGTTTCTCTTTAATTTAGTCCCTTAAAATGTCTCTACAGAACTACTCTAATTTGGGTTAAATAAATGCTTAATGTTTAAATTATGATGCATTAATACTACCATCTGAACTATTGGGATACATAACAGACTATAGGTTCCTTTTACTGTGTAACACTTTGTTTTGTAGGTACTAATTCTCTCATGTTTGCATGTGCTGAGCTTTCACTGTTCTGTCACTAATCCAGTTCCCTACTTTCTGACAGAGCAGTAAACATCTTCTCCATATGGTACACACCAACTGGAGGTCTAGCAGCTCTGGACACACTTTCCAAGCCCTCCATCCTGCTCCAGTCTCTGAAGGGAGCTGTTCTCCCGCTCTGCCAGCCAGCTATCATTCTGGGGTTTCCTTTCCCATCATTTCAAGAGTTCCTTTTATGTCTTATCTATTCTATTTTGCATCCCATGCTTTTCTTTTCCAAGTCTGAAGTTTTTGTGTAAAGAGTGAAGGTTGAGGTTTGGAGCCTGTTAACGAAGATCCCAAAGAAAAGCTAGGACTTTTCTGATGCATCGTTCCTATTACTGGTATAATAGAAACATGGGTACATCATTGCTCCTCATGGAATCTTAAAATGGCCTCACAGAAGGAATCCCACTGGGGATAGAGCAGAACTTCTTCATATATATTGTTCTCATAAATTGAGATGTCCTAAATAAATAAAAGCCGCCAGCTATATATAAAATTTATAACTAATCTTAAAACTATTTTAGTTCTTCCCACTTAAAATCTTTATGAAAGCATTGAGACTTCATATTGGTCAAATATTAGAATTATTCTTCCCTTTCTCCAGTTCCCCTTTAACTCCTACAAATTTTGGCAAAAAGATAAGAAACCGAGAAATATGGCTGCAAATTTGCAAAGGGCCTGTATGCTATGCAATTTGGATGATTACTACCTGAGTAACAGCTGTCTAGTACACAAATGGAGACACTTTAAAAAGTACTCACAAAAATTTAACCCTCTACTTGGTTGCGCGCACATCCCCAGTAGGGGGTGTGCAAGAGGCAGCTGATCGATGATTCTCTCTCATCGATGTTTCTAACTCTCTATCCCTCTCTCTTCCTCTCTGTGAAAAATCAATAAAATATATTAAAATAAATAAAAATAAAAAAATTTAACCCTCTAATAAACAGTAAAGCATTTCTCATTATATATATTTCCCCCAAAATGAACAATAGAGGATGCAAAATTAGTCACTGAATGGAAAGCACTTATTTTTGCTGTTGCCAAGCTAAGCTGGACCGATAATTACTTTTATTCCTCTTATTAAAAATACAACCGTGCTTTTACACTGCAAAACACAGAAAAGGAAAACAAGAAATAAAATGTTCTGAGTCATGCCACTTACCTTATGTCAGTAATGACAACTACATGTTCACAGTCTCCCTGGTGGCAGTATAAATAGGGAAAACCCATTTTAATCTTTAAGTCATTGAAGGTGAAGTCTTCCATTTTAGCAGTCTGAAACTTTCCATAGCCTCTGTCGTGGGACTCTGACCACTCAATGATAGTTCTGAGATGGGGGAAAGGCAAGATATGTATCATTGCTCCACAAAAAAACTAGAAATGACTGACTACAGTTTGTGACTGCAGTACTTCACAAAACCTGGCTCTCCATTAACTGGACAGTTACCATCTTTAAATGAAAACCAGTGTTGGTGTATGCTGGAGTAGGAATTCTGAATTTTTCTTCATCTGTTAGAGCATCAGTTCTCAAAGTGTGATTCCTGAGACCCCATAGGGGTTCATGAGGTCAAAATTATCTTTACAATAAGCCTAAAATGTTATTTGCTGCCCTTTCAACTCTTATTCTCTCATGAACAAACATTTTTCTGGAGGCTACATGACGTGGTTTAACTTCAGACTTAATGAAAAATATGTAACAGTGTCATTCTTCTCACCATTTTATTTTGTTCTGGAAAAGTTCTCTATCCCTCTCCCTTCCTCTCTGTGGAAAGTCAGTAAAATATATTTTAACAAAATAATAAAAAGAAGAAGTGCTAAGGCCAACGAGATTGAGAAATGCTACATTAGAATATAAATACAAATGGCTATAATAAAGGAGAATTTATTAACATTCAGAAAAATATATTCATTTCCCAGGACACTAATAATAATAAAACTGTAGTCTACCCAGCCAGTGTGGCTCAATGGTTGAGTGTTGACCTATGAATAAAGAGGTCACAGTTCAATTCCCGGTCAGAGCACATGCCCAGGTTGTAGACTCGATTCCAATGTGAGCCATGCAGGAGGCAGCTGATCAGTGATTCTTATCATTGATGCTTCTCTCTCTCTCTCTTCCTCTCCCTTCCACTCTGAAATCAATATATATATATATATATTTTAAATTAGTATTATTTTGTAAGAGTTGACATTTTAAAAAATATATATTTTATTGATTTTTTACAGAGAGGAGGAGAGCGCGATAGAGAGCTAGAAACGTCGATGAGAGAAATACATCGACCAGCTGCCTCTTGTACAGCCCCTACCGGGGATGTGCCCACAACCAATGTACAATCCCTTGACCAGAATCGAACCTGGGACTTTTCAGTCGGCAGACCAACGTTCTACCACTGAGCCAAACCGGTTTCGGCAGAAATATATTTTTTAAAGTGTGATTTAATTCACATGATCATTAGATGCAAATTTTTCATGTTTTGTATTTAAGCAACTATATATATCACATAGATCCAACAACTGTGCACACTGAACAAGCAGAAAAACAGAGATTTACTGCTATCATCTAATATGAAGAACAGACAATAAATTGTTTAAGGGAATTTAGTTTGTTTCTTTTAAAACATGTATTTTATTGATTTTTTACAGAGAGGAAGGGAGAGAGAGAGAGTTAGAAATATCGATGAGAGAGAAACAGTGATCAGCTGTCTCCTGCACACCTGCTACTGGGGATGTGCTCGTAACCAAGGTACGAATCAAACTTCGGACTGGAATCAAACTTCGGACCCTTCAGTCCGCAGGCCAATGCTTTACCCACTGAGCCAAACCAGATAGGGTGGAATTTAGTTTCTTTTTTAGATATATCTAAGGCTCAATTGAGTTAGTGTAATTTCTAAAATAGCAGATAATACATTTAAAAAACAATTCTGTAGAGCCAGCAAGATCCTGAAATGGATATGTGTGCTTTTGTAGGAAATGTTCTTCCTGGAATAAAAATGTTGATTAATTAGTACCTAAACCAACCTTTTTCACATATTTTAAAAATGGAAAGAGAATTTCTTGTCTCAAATCAACAAAAACTAATAAAATAATGCCTTGGCAAATATCCTTAACAGACCAGTTAAAGGATTTGTGGAGACAATACCATTTTGAGAACTAAAACCTGGCAAGACTTTGTGAAGAATTTCGCAAATTGTACCTGCTCAGATCTCTGCATTCAGGGTATCTTCTATCGTTATAAAACGTTCCTTCAAAATAAAAGAAGGCTGATTTGTATAAGTCCTATAAGAAAACACATGGTATTGAGAAAAAGGAATTAGAAAATTGCTCTAAGTATTAAATAAAAATTTGTATGACATAAAATTACACTAATATATTTAACAATAACTATGCAACTTCAGAGAATAGGCTCAGCTCATTAATTAACTTGTGTAATATTTAATGGAAACCTCTTATGTAACCTATGTAAATATTATATTAGTTACCACGCATAAAGGTATAAAATTTTATTGCTATTTTAATTAGTAGGTTTGATTTAAATTTGTATATTCTGAGATTCATGAAAGAAATCTAAATAGAAATGAATTAACTTTAATATTATTTTAATATATGCATACAGCAATGACAGTTATTTTAGATATTAGAACTAATGACTCAACAGCCATATATTTGGTGTTTCCCAGTAACAATAATAACCATAGTTATGTTGACCTGCCATTTAAAAATTTTTTCAATATGCTTTTATAAAAATTCCCTCATTATATGTTCCATAACTCTTAGGCAGGTAGAATGTGAATTTCTATTCCTACTTAAACAATCTTGCCCAAAGTACTATAGTAGTTGCACAACTGGTCTGAACCTTTACATTTTTTTTTTTTTAATATATATTTTATTGGCTGGCTGATGCTGCAGGGCTTGGGAAGTTGTTTGCACAGTGAGCTAAAGATGAATATCAGAGGACTTGGATCACAGCTAAAGGACACCAAATGGGCCTTTGGAAAGTCATGATCTTCTTCAAAAGGTTTTTCTTGTATGAAAAATGAACTTTTGCCCAGTCATCCTCTTGAATTATTAGAAAATTTCCAGCTCAACAAAGATAAAATGAATTTTCCACACTGAAAAACATCCTGGGTCTATTTGATCCACTAACATTGCAAATGGAATTCAAGGCAGTGCAACAGGTTCAGTGTCTTCCATTTCTTCTCATCTTAAACCTTTTACTGGATAGTTTGAGGGATAATGACAAGACTATTGGATTTGAAGATATTATTAATGACCCATCACAAGGTGAACTAATGGGAGAACCACACTTGATGGTGGAATATAAACTTGGTATACTGTAATGTATGAGCTGACTATGGAAATGAAGGGGCTACATCTTGTTTATAGTTATCTTTTTACTATAATTTTATGTACACATTAAAAGTACTGACACATGTAAAAAAAAAAAAAAGTTTTATTGATTTGAGAGGAAGGGAGAGAGAGAGAGAGACATGGATCACCTGCCTCCTGCATGCACCCTTCTGGGGATTGAAACTGCAACCCAGGCATGTACCCTATCCTGGAACTGAACCGGCAACCTCTTGGTGTACGAGACGACATTCAACCAACTGAGCCACACCAGCAAGGGCTGAACTCTTAGGTTGCTTAACTTTCAGCCTATCAGACTTTCTATCACAGGGGTGTCTCTTAATCCTGACTACATAACAGAATCACAAAACCAACAAAGACTAAGTCTCATCTCAGATCCATTAAATGACCCTGAGGATGTATCTCAGACACCAGTGTTTTCCCAAGCTCCCCCAGTGATTAAATGTGCAGCCTGTGCTGAGAACCACTCGTTAGACTTGTGTTTCATCAGATGCTTGGAATTAGGTCCCTGGGAGAGGGTAAAAAGACCTATGTTCTCTTCTTTAACCTACACTTCCCTGTGGGACCTGTAAAATCAAAATACCTGGCATGCTATTTTACAGGATTGTGATGAGAATCAAAAGCAGTGTATGAAGTACAAAGACATATAAGCTTCAGGTATTAAAATAATTTTACCTAATTAATTAGGTAACATAACTTCTTGCTACTACTTTAAAGTTTTTATTTTTCTTCAATGTCCCATTCACCGGTCTGGCTTTAGTATCAGACAACCAGACACCCTTACAAGACTTGCTTTGCTGTGTCCCCTTGACAGCTCACTAAATCTTTCTGACCCTCTTTTTCTTTGTGAAAATATGAGTAAAACCATTACCTTCCTCCCAGATGATTGCAGAGATAAAAGGATATGATATACTATAATGCCATGTCCGGCTGCTGTTATCATAAAATCTGCCACTTAATGTACTTCTAGACTCTCAAAGAGATCAGCCAGGGTCCAAAATAAAGGTTCTGAAAGAATAAATACTGCCTTACTGAGGAGACAAAAAGTTAAGTGTATATAAAATTTTGTTCATTACAAAATGACTTAGTTCTTTGGCATTACTACCCTGTTTCCCCGAAAATAAGACAGTGTCTTATATTAATTTTTGCTCCCAAAGATGCGCTAGGTCTTATTTTCAGGGGATGTCTTATTTTTCCATGAAGAAGAATACGGTACACATTTATTGTTAAAGGAAATTTATTACCTGTATATGGTACGGTAGTATGGTAGTTGTCAACACAAACCAGACAAACTGAATCCTATAGTATCAAGAATTTACTCATTTATTCAATGACAATCATGTCATCATCTTCTGGAACTTCATCATAACAATCCAATTCCTGAATTTCCTGGTGAATTTCTTGTGACTCCATTTCTTCCAGAATCAGTGGACCAAATCTCTCATGTTTAGCCTAGAAGGGGCCTTATTTTCGGGGGATGCCTTATATTTCACTCAGAAGGAAACCTGTAAGTATGTCTTATTTTCGGAGGATGTCTTATTTTTGGGGAAACACGGTATTAACTAGAGGCTCAGTGCATGAATTCATGCACTGGTGGAGACCTTCGGCATAGCCTGCAGGGATAGGGCCAAAACCGGCAGTCCGACACCACCTGCTGCTGCTCCTCATTCTAGCCCTGTTGCGCCTGTTGCCACTGCCACTCAGTAGGCTCACTGACACTGCTGAGGTCTCCAGGCTGCTGCCATCCCTGGGCTGTGGCGGCCAGCCGTAAGCCCTGCGTCTGGCACCCCTTGGTCAGCAGAGCAGCGCTCCTGCTGTGGGAGCGTACTGACCACCAGGGGGCAGCTCCTGTGTTGAGTGTCTTCCCCCTAATGGTCAGTGTGCACCACAGTGACAGGTTGTCCGGTTGTCCCGTCACTTAGGCTTTTTTATATATAGATAAATTGGAAGGGAACTCTAAAAGAACAAAAAATGTTTTTCATCTAAATCCTAATTCATCCACACACTGGCCAGGTAGGTCAGTTGATTGGACTGTCATCCCAACCCAACAGGGTTGTGGATTTAATCCCTGGTCAGGGCACATAGAGTAATCAACCAGTGAATGCATACGTAAATGAAACAACAAACGATGGTTCTCTCTCTTCCTCTCTTATCAAATCAATCAATCAATCAATCAATCAATCAATAAAATTAAAAAACGATACAAAACAAAAAATAAATTGTAAGTCATCCATTAAACATTGAGCTTGAGCCCTAGCAAGTTTGGCTCAGCGGATAGAGGGTCAGCCTCTGCGGACTGAAGGGTCCCAGGTTGGATTCCGGTTAAGGGCATGTACCTTGGTTGCGGGCACGTACCTTGGTTGCGGGCATATCCCAATTGGGGGTATGCAGGAGGCAGCTGACTGAAGTTTCTAACTCTCTCTCTCTCTCTCTCCCCCTTCCTCTCTGTAAAAAATCAATATATATTTTTTAAATTGAGCTTGAGCTTTCTGTGGTTTATTTATTTATTTAACAACTATTTGGCTCTTCCTCTGTGCCATACACCATCAAAAGAATAAAGACATAAACATCACTGAACAAAACAAAATGTCCAGCAGGCACTAAAAATTAATGGTTTGGAAATCAGGAGACAATATGATTTACAGGGAGAGAGATTAACCAAGATTAGAGTACACCTAAAACCATGAAAACTGGGGGGAAGGTCAGGAGAAGAATTAGAATAAGAACAAGTAAAACAAAATATGTTATAACATTTATGTGGCTGGTGGCCACAAATAAAAATGGAGATTGTGATGGCTCTTGTCCACACTCTGTCTCCATTCTAGCTGACCCAAACCTCTTTTCACTCTTCTTCATGAGGTGCTGCCCCTCCTAGGTGGGCCAGTAACTCTGAGGTCCTCTGCTGGTTGTACAGGTAAAGTAGTTCAAGCTTGCACATCATGAAATTCAGGAGGATCAAAGCCCTACTACTTCACTAGGCAAGGCATCCCTTCTGAAAATGTCCTGGATAGCAGTCTACCAGTCTTTTACTTTGCGCAATTATCTAGTGAGTATGTCAGTTTCTCTGTCCCTCTGAGAGCATCAGCCAGAGAACCACGAGCAATGACATGTATCAGATACTATGTCCCTGTTTGACATTGCTCATCGAACAGACAGGTCCTTCTATGGGCAATGAGATTCTGACCTAGACTCCAACCCTTTGCTGGAGTCTCTGTTTACAACAAACTCACATAGAGTTTGAAAGAGGAGAGCTTGAACAACAAATTCAAGTGCTACATTGAGATCTAGTTGTATCAGCATAGAAGAGATATCAACTAGTTAAACAATTAGGTGGTTACTATGACCTGTGAAGGAAGAGTGTATAAAAAATGACTGAAAAGGAACAGGACATGAGGAAATCAAAACTAATTATAGCCTAAGCTTTGAAAAAGTCTTGAAGATAAAGAACAGTGAAGAGACAGGCTTTGAGGGAATGGACAGAAGAAGAAAGCATTGACTGGAATACTGATGATCCTGCTAGAGTGACCATTACATCCTTAGCTTAGTACTATTATTTCCTGTTGCTTTATAGGGGTAATAAAAACAGAAAAATCACCTTACTTTACTGATGTGCTCAGGGGCCTGGTCAGGAGTGTTGCTGAATTCCCCACCAATCTGGAGGTCACTGACACAGCAAATTGAATCCCTTAGTTCCGTGAGCTTCTGACTGCCCAGTACCAGCATCGTCTGGTATGGTTTGTGTTCTTTGTGCTAAAAGTCAAACAGTAAATAAATAAATGTCCGCTTAGAGGTAAGGAACTTACTTATAAATCCTGGCAGGATCAGATCTGAAGTTACTGGTTTTCTTGATTTAACTGATCCTCACAACTTAGTGTTCTGTGTTTTCCTAAATTCCCCGTTTGTCTATTTGGCAGTCATTAGATACAGATCCAAACTAATGGCCAAAACTGTTTACACCTCCTCTGTAACATAGAGCCTATTCCCTGAGCCTACCTCCTTTACCTAACTCCCACAAACCATGCCAACTTTCACTTATCCTAAATCAAGGCACAGGCAAAGCAGGACAAAGCCTGGGTGTGTTCCAGAACCCAGCCCTAACTGTTCACTCTCTTGCCTTGCCTTTCTCATGGAAACCCTAATGAAGGCTGTGGCCTCCGCCTTTCCTTCCCTCCTTTCCGCCCCGACTGACACTGGTGCTTTTCCTATGGCCCTACATAGCATGGCCACACCCCCTCCTCTCAGAAAGTGTAAGTAATAAAAATCTTTCCATGGCATTAGCCTCTCCTGTTGTCGCTCAAGTCACCTCCATAAATGAAAATCCTTGGGTTTAACTGAAACACGTGGTGCGATGGACTGAAAATTTGTGTCCATCCAAAACGTGCATGTAGGAATTCTGACACCCAAAGGAGTTGGGGGAGGTAACTGGCTCATGTGAGTGGTGGTAGTGCTCTTATCCCAGGCTCCAGGAGCATGCCCGCCTTTCCCTTCCCCTCTTCGTCCCCCCAGGCATGTTACTTCCTCCTTTCTCCTAAGCTCCAAGGGCCCTTCTACTATCTCTGTACTTTCTAAATGAACTTCTCTTAATAAAAAAAAGCAAGCAAGCCCTGGCCAGGTGTGGCTTAGTTGCTTGGGCATCATCTCATGCACCAAAAGGATGCTGGTTCTATTCCCAGTCAGGGCACATGCCGGAGTTTTGGATTCAATCCCTGGGGGTGGGATTGGGGGTATGCAGGAGGCAGGCGGCCAATGTTTTGCTCTCACATATTAAATTTTGTCTTTCCCTCTCCCTTTCTCTCTCTAAGTCAATGAAATTCTTTTTGTTTGTTAATCCTTACCTGAGGATGTTTTTTCCATTGATTTTCTAGAGAATGGAGAGACAGAATCATCAACGTGAGAGAGACACATCTGGTTGTCTCAAGCATATGCCTCCGCACTGGGGATCAGGACTGCAACTGAAATACTTGCCCTTGACTGTAATGGAACCTGGGACTCTTCAGTTTATAGGCTAACTCAGCTCTAAACGCTGAGCAAACCAGCTAGGGTTCAATGAAATTCTTTTAATGAATAAATAAGTAAAAGAGATCCCATTGAGCTCCCTACCCACTTCTGCCATGAAGGAGGAGTATTCAACCTAGAAGAGGGCCCCAACCTGACCATGCTGGCAGCCTGATCTTGGACTTGCAGTGTTCAGAACTGTCAGAAAAAATTTCTGTTGTTTATAAGCTACCCACACAGGGACATTTTGTTACAGACACCTGAATGGACTAAGACAGTTGGTAACAGAACTTTATGCTGAAGTTTATAATTAAGATGCTACTAAATGACATCAGCATGAAAAGCCTGTGGACTCTTAACTTCATCTAGCAACACTCTCTTTAAATTTCCTGGAAATTACCACAATGAACTATAGTAACCTAGTCACTACCATAATGTTATAAACCCAGAGGTTCCACTGTATTCATTTGGTTTTGATTGGTAATTTAAGATCTTCATCAAACAAGATAATTACTATAATTACTACTAGCTACTAGTATATTCCAGATGCTTCAGAAAAGCCTATTTATTTACAAGTGTGGTGTATGTACAGTAATAATGCATTTAACCTTGTCAAAGTTTATAACATCTATTTAAGGAATCAAGAATACAAACTCTCGCCTGGCTGGCATGGCTCAGTGGTTGAGTGTCGACATATGAACCAGGAGGTCATGGTTTGATTCCCAATCAGGGCATATGCGTGGGTTTCGGGTTCAGTTCCCAGAGTAGAACATGCAGGAGGCAGCTGATTGGTGATTCTCTCTCATCACTGATGTTTCTATCTCTCACTCCCTCTCCTTCTCCTTCTTCTATGAAATCAATAAAAACATATTTAAAATAATAATAATAATACATACACCCTGGTATGGGATAGTTCTTTTTATTACAGACTCCTAAGGAATTCCTAGATACCCCTGACCTGTTAACTTTGTGCATTTTCATCAAAGAAGAGCTGTCTTTAGTTATATAATTTCCCAAGTATTCTAAACTGGTGAACAAGTCACCCCACTCCTGGGGGGGGAAAACAACCCTCATAACAACATATAATTAGGGTCATGGATTTCTATATACTTGCAGTTGCTTCCAGTGCAGAAACTAAAATTGCAATCATATCAACCAAGAGATGATTTTCAACTTGATCTTATTTACAATATTTCTTACTAAAAAAAGAACTCAAGAGCATAAGCACGATGCCAGATAAAATAGTTCTTGCTATTTTATCTAAGATATATGACTCTTCAAATAATTAAACCATCTGACAAAAGTCACTCCTATTATCTGTGGAATCCAAAAGGTTTCACTACCGACCTTATGAAATATAACAGGGTAGAAGACATTCACAGATAGGATAAGTTCCCCCTCTTCAATCATGTCTGCTGGGTTTTCAGGTTTTTTTCCTATGGCATGTGACTCCTGAAGGAGGAAAACAAATTAATAAGAGACATTAAAATCATTATGACTCAGAGAAGAGGCAGTGTGGGACAATGGCTATGAGCAATAACTGAGTCAAACAGCCCTGATTTTGATTCCTAATTCTAATTCAAGAAAACTAATAAAACCTCTAAGTTTTAGTTTCATCTCCTGTAAGACACAGGAAATACTTATTTTATAGACCTGTTGCTGGGAATGTGTACATAAAGCATCTCGTAAGATGTTGGGCATTAAGTGCTTACCAATCGATAATAAAACAGGAATAATAGGGATATCAATTACAGTAATATTGGTATAACATGGGCATTTACAACTATAAATCTTTTCATATCTCCTCTCGTACAATTAATTATGAGAGCCATTTGATAGATGAAGCCAAAGGTTCAGATTTACTTTAGGTAAATCAGCAAGATAGGATGCAAATACAGATCTGTCTGGCTTTAAAACTCTTGCTCTTTAATACACTGTCAAATCTTAGATGGAACCACACGTCCTTTTATATCTGCTTAGTAACTATAAAAAAAGGGGCCGCTAGAGTACAAAATACATTTAAAAAGTGGGAGTGATGTTACACGAAATGATGAAGGAGGATCAGTCCCTCCACCAAAGCAACCAATAAGATGGGAAGAGAGAGAGGAATGTACTATTTAGAACTGTGGAACCTGATCAGATGCTCGTATCAGCCAGAGGAGTGCTTAATGAAGGGAAAAGCTGCTTATTTCTCATAAATGAGCAGAGGGTACAGACCAACAAACCTGCAAGCCCTGCTTGCAGATATGGAAATAGCAGCCCCTGGGCCTAGAAATGGTGGCTGATGCCAGGACAGGCAGTGGGGATCCTGTTTTCCAAATATTAGGGCTTATGTGTTTGGATTGGTCTAGTGATGCCCTGAAGTACTGGGGCAGAAACTTGCCTTGGTTTTGGCTTCCCCCAACAGCAATAATCGGAAACTTAAAGGGATAGGACCTGTTCTCATTTGTAGAGGCAGACATTTAAGAAAATCGTAGGTCACTGGCTGACCACAGAGATAATGAAACAGAAACATCAGTGATATTACATAACACATAATACTCAGATCGGAAAAAGAGTTTGGAAAAGTCCCAAGTAGCTCCAGCCCTCAACAAGTAATAAACATACTCACAGAGTGTCCAGTTCTCATTTAAAAACTTATTAAAAAAAAAAAAAAACACACAATGAAACAGGAAAATATGACCCACTTTCAAGAAAAAATGAATTTGACAGAAACTACCCTTGAGGGAGCCCACATGTTGAAATTACTAGTCAGTGATGTTAAATCAACTGCCTTAAATGTACTCAATGAACTAAAGAAAACTATATACATAGAGCTAAAGAAAATGAGGTTCTTTAATAAGATTAACAGCCAATTTCTCACTAGAAACTATGTAGACAAGAGGCAGTGGGACTACATATTAAAAGCATGGGGAGATACCCTGGCCAGTCTGGCTCAGTGGATAGTGTCAGCCTGCAAACTGAAGGGTCCCAGTTCAATTAGGGTCAAGGGCATGTACCCTGGTTGTGGGCACATTCCCAGTGGGGGGTGTGCAGGAGGCAGTTGGTCAATATTTCTCTCATCAATGTTTCTGGCTCTCTATCCCTCTCTCTTCTTCTCTGTAAAAAATCAATAAAATATATATTTTTTAAAAAGCCAGGTGGGAGGAGAGAGGGAAGAGAAAACCCTGTCAGCCAAGAATTCTATACCTGGAAAAACTATCCTTTAAGATGAGAGAGAAATTAGGACATTTTTTTCTTTTTTTTCTTTAATATATTTTATTGATTTTTTACAGAGAAGAAGGGAGAAGGATAGACTCAGAAACATCGATGAGAGAGAAACATCAATCAGCTGCCTCATGCACACTCCCCACTGGGGATGTGCCCACAACCAAGGTACATGCCCTTGACTGGAATCGAACTCAGGACCCTTGAGTCCGCAGGGTGACTATCCACCAAACCAGTAAGGGCTAGGACATTTTTTTCAGATAAACTATGTAAGTAAATATGAAAGCAAGGTATTACTGTACTTAAATAAAAGAACAGAAAATGATATTCTACGCAAACAGTAACCAAAAAAAGGCTGAAGCTTGAGTGGCTGTATTGTTATCTGACAAAATAGACTTTAAGTTAGAAGAGGTTACAAAAGACAAAGAAGGGCTTTCGAAAGGGTGTTCCCCAAAAAAATGTACATACCCTTTAACAGCTGATAGCTCATTAAAAAAAAAAAAAAAGAAATGTATTTTAATAAACACTGCCTTTACAATTATTCAAAGAGTGCATCCATTTTTGGGACATCTTATATATTGATAAAAGGTGCAACCCAGCAAGAAGAAACAGTAAATATAAACACACAGGCTGTTAAAAACAGAATCCCAAAATACATAAATTGACAGAACTGAAGAAAGAAATAGATGGTTTACAATAGTTGGAAACTTCAATATCAGAATTTCAATGAGTAGAAAAACCAGACAGAAAATTAATAAGCAAATAGAAGACATGAACAACATGATACACCAATAAGACCTAACAGATATACAAAACACTCTATCCAGCAACAGCAGAATACATACTGTTCTCAAGTGCACAAAGACCATTCTCCAGATAGACCAAGTCTTCATCAATTTAAAAATACTAAAATCATAAAAAGTATCTTTTTAAATCACAGCTGATGAAACTAGAAATCAATAACAGGAAGAAAACTGAAAAATTCAGATATGTGGAAATTAAGCAACACACTCACAAATATCCAATGGGTCAAAAGGAAATCAGAAAATACCTTGAGACAAATGAAAATAGAAACACAAGATAAGAAATGTATGAAATGCAGCAAAAACAGTACAGAAATGAAGACCTTAGAACTATTGTATAAACACATACCTTAAAAAGAACAATCTGAAATCAATAACTGTATATAATTTGAAATTAGAAAAGAGCAAGCAAGACCTGAAGCTAGCAGAAGGAAGAAAACAAGCAAAACTGACTCAAAAAGAAACAGAGAATCAAAGTAGACCCATATCCAGAGACTGACTTAGCAATTAAAATCCTAACAAAGAAAAGCCGAGGAGTAGATTATTTCACTGGTGAATTCGCCCAAATTGCAAAGGAAGTTAATAACACTAACCCTTCTCCAAGTCCTCAAAAAAATCTTCAAAAATCCCTAACTCATTCTGGGATCAGTAGACTCGAAAACCAAAGTAAAACAAAGACATTACAAGAAAACTAAAGGCCAATATCCTTTATGAATATAAATGCCAAACTCCTCAACGAAATATTAGCAACCTGAATTCAACAGTGTAATAAAAAGATTATATACCACAAGCAAGTGGGACTTATACTCAGGATACAAGAATAAGTTACATACCAATCAATCAATGTAATATTCCACACTACAAGAATGATGGCAGGAAAACCCACATCATCATCTCAACTGATGAAGAAAATGCATTTGACAAATCCAATTCTTTTTCATGATAAAACACTAAATAAACTAGGAATAGAAGGGAATTTACGCAACATGATAAAGGCTGTATGTGAAAAATTCACAGCGAAGATCACATTCAACAGTGACAACTGATAAGGATGTGCACTTTTGTCACTTCTTTCAACAGAGTACTAGAGATTCTAGCCAGAGCAATTAGGCAAGGGGGAAAAGGGCAAGAAGGAAGAAATACAGGTGAGTGAACCAAACTGGAAAGAGATAAAATTATCAGTTTACAGAGAAATGACCTTTTTTTTAATTAAAAAAAATTTTTTGATTGATTGATTTAGTTTAAGAACTCATGCAATATCTGCACGATCACCACATAAAGTCCGAGGGAGAAAGACACTTACCTACACATTCATTGGGTGCTTCGTGTATGTACCCTGACAGGAGATCAATCTTACAACCTTGGCATATTGGGCGGACACTCTAGCAAACTGAACTACCCAGCCAGGGCCCATGCATTCTCTTCAGTGTACAAAAGTGTCAAGGATTCACACAAAAACACCCTGTTACTGCTAATAAAAAAAATTAAGCAAAATTGCAGGATACAAAACCTATTTAAAATTTTTTTTATTTAAAATGACATAAAAAAATAAAATATGTAGTAATAGATTTAACAAAGGAGATGAAAGACTACTTCCCAGTCCCAATCAAGCTTCTCTAGTTTGCTTTCAACTAAGCATACCCAATATAAAGCCACCGCACAGTCATCATTAGCCCTCACCCAAAGACGAAGTTCATGGTTTCATGGGAAAAAGTGGACAAGAGGAGATTCTTACCATCTCATAAGCAAGTACTTCTTGTCTGCAGGCCCGATCTATCGTTAATGTTTCTTCCCGACGTTCCAAAATCTCCTTTCTGACTCTGTTACAGACACAAGAACAATCAAACGTCAACATTCTCCACTGAGCTTCAAACACATCTTCAATACTCATTTATTCTGAACTAATTTTAGGCCAAAGGAAAGCTATAAAAATAGCACAAAGAGTTCCCTTATATCTCTCACCTGGCTTCCTCTATGTTAACATCGTACGTGATCATAGTATAATGATCAAGCTAGGAAATTAATCTTAACACAGTATTATTAACTATTGACCGTTTTTGGAAGTTCACAAATATTTAAATGTAATGCTTAAAAAATTTTTAATGCCTCTTTTCTGTCCCAGCATTCTGAGCAGGACACACTGCATTTCTTCTCCTTTTTTCCTCCAGTCTTTTACAGTTCTGCAGTCTCTCCTTGTCTTTCATGATCTTGACACTTCTGAGGAGCTCTGATCAGTTATTTTGTAGTGTTCTTCAATTTGGGTTTGAGAGCTGCTTGCTCATGATTGGAATTAGCCTATACATTTTTGGCAAGAATACCACAAGAATAATGATGTCCTTCACTGTATCAAGGGGTTAATGATGTTAATACAGGGTGAGCAAAAGTAGGTTTACAGCTCTTCATATGGAAATACAACAATTAATAATAATACAAGAATATATCACTGTTTTATTGTACATACTCACAACTGTAAACCTACTTTTGCCCACCCCGTATTCTTGTCACTGGTGATGCTTACCTTGTCTCCCAAGTTCCTACACTTGAAAGATACTTTTCCTTTGTATTATACTTGTTAAGAATTTGGGGGAGCCCTAACTGGTTTGACTCAGTGGATAGAGCGTCGGCCTGCGGACTGAAGGGTCCCAGGTTTGATTCTGGTCAAGGGCATGTACCTTGGTTGCGGGCACATCCCCAGTGGGGGGTGTGGGGGAGGCAGCTGATCGATGTTTCTCTCTCATCGATGTTTCTAGCTCTCTATCCCTCTCCCTTCCTCTGTAAAAAATAAATAAAATATATTAAAAAAAAAAAAAAAAAGAATTTGGGGGAGATATTTTAAAACTATGCACCTCATTTCTCCTTAAACTTTCACCCAGAAATTTGAGCATTCGTGGTAGATTTTGCCTGCAATGTTTATTAATGGTGATTCTCTATTTCCCTCATTCTACATTTATTCACTGATATTATGAGGAAGATCTATCTCTTTCCTCCCATTTATTTATTTGGTCATTTATATTAGCATAAACCCATATTTATATATTTTATTCTACAGGTTAAAATCTAATACCATCATTATTTTGTTGCTCAAGATGTTCTAGCTTCGTCCTTTAGGAGCTTCTTCATGTTGGCTCCTGTTCCTTCAATAACCCATCGTTTTTCTTTTTCTTTTTGTAGCATTTTCTTACTTTCTGGTACCATAAGAGGCTCAAAGCTCATCCTCTATTTCCATGTCTCAGCCCTGAAATCAACCACTTCTCCTGGGAGTCCTAATAGCTTTATTGGAGAGAGGCATCCTCATTGTTACTGCAGTCACTGCTTCTAGGCTCGGCAGCAGAGAGAAGTGGAAACACATATGTATACTAACCCACACATGTACAGATACCTGCATTTTTCTGTTACATATTTAAAACTGTGAGTTAATAATGATACTTTCAATCCCAAACTAAAATCACAGGATTTTAGCCTTCACCCTTCTCTTGTTTATAACTTCTTTCTCCACAAGTGAGAAACCCAATTCCTATCACTTATAATCCAGTAACTTAATTCTAGAAAATACACTGTCTATATTCGATTCCCAATCCCTTTGGAAATTATTCTTATGTAGTATCATACCAAATTTCCATACCTCTTTAAATATAACTGAACTTTTCCTTCTATTCCACTGGTCTTTTTGGCAATTCCTGAGCTAGTACCCACTGTTTTAATTATGAGGACTTTGTAGTATATTTTAATATCTGGTAAAATTACTATGCCCTCATAATTTCCCCCCCCCAGAATTTTTTCTAGTTATTATTGCATATATTCCATATGAATTTTATCATCAGTTTGTCTAACTCCATAAAATAATCAATACTTCTGATATTTTTATTGGGATTGCACTTCATTTATAAATTAACTTAGAAATAACTGACATCATACAATGTTTAATATTCCTCAAGAACAAAGGATATCTTTCAATTTTTTCAAGTCTTTTTTTGAGTCTTTCAGGAGTGTTTTTTGAAATTTTCCTTATTTGTGCTTCCTTAATTTTACACATTTCTTACTAAACTTATTCCTACATATTTAACCTTTTTGACTACTGTAAATGAGATTTTTTCCCCCTCTACCATTATGTCCTCTAATTGTTGTTTGTGTACATGAAGGGTATTGTTTTTCATGTATCAATTTTGTATTCTATTACAATAAATTCTTTTTAAAATTTAATTTAAAATTTTTTATTTATTGCTGAGACTGGTTTGGCTCAATGGATAGAGCGTCGGCTTGGGGACTGAAGGGTCCCAGGTTCGATTCCGGTCAAGGGCATGTACCTTGGTTGCGGGCATATCCCCAGTAGGGGGTGTGAAGAGGCAGCTGATCGATGACTCTCTCTCATCGATGTTTCTAACTCTCTATCTCTCTCCTTTCCTCTCTGTATAAAATCAATAAAATATATATTTTTTAAAATTTTTATTTATTGATTGATTTTTGGAGAGAGGGAGAAGGGGGAAAGTAGGGGTACAGAGGTGTGTGTGTGTGTGTGTGTGTGTGTACACATATAAGTGTTGTAGGCAAAGGCCAGCAGTGAGAGAACATTGTAGGATCTGAAAAAGAGCTGTAGCATGGCTGGAGGACTGCAGAGACAGCTGAAAAGATCAGCAAGACCCATTCTCTAGAGGCCCTTGTGAGCCACTGAAGAACCCAGGACTTGTGCCTAAGCCAATGAAAGGCTTGCAGGGAAAGTGACACACCAGATGTGCAGTTTAGGAAAAATCTTAACTAATCAACAAACAGTAGTTAAAGAGTTGCCAATCGAACAAAGCAGCATAATATGCTTAAGGGCAATACACAATTGAAAAGAGTCTGGATTCCCAAATGTGTCTTCAAAGATTTTAGGAATGTTAGAAGTGTTTTGAGACATTCTAGAAGGGACAGAGGTGGGTTTTAGTAATGTGGAAAGTAATCTTAGGGCCTCAAAGATGGGGTAGTTTCAGATGGGAGAGGGGTCATGTACATCCTGACATCTGAAAGAGAAAGTGATTGAAAATGAATCTAGAAGGCAAGTTTGTGCTATATATGTGGAAGCTTTCAAAAGTCTAAGGAAGGAGTCTGAAATGTGTCCATAAAAGAGGGTAGAGCCATTGACAATTTCTTAGTAAATGAGCTTGTTCACATGACAGCACAATGAATAAATCAGACAGGAATCTTCCTTTCCTTAGCACTCCAAAGATTGCTCATGTAAATATTAGCAGTAGGGAAAGGAAATGGATTTGTTTCTGTTTCAAAAAACAAACACACAACAAAAAACAAGGCAGAGTTACAAATACCATTGTAACACACAACCAAAAGCAAGGCAGAGTTACAAATACCATTTTTCTAGCAATTCATTTTTATCCTAGTTTACAAAAGTATGGATGTCAAAAATTTAAAAGAACAAACAAAACTGGTCCTTTACCATATAGTTTGAGAGGCACTACCAAAATATTTAGCTTGCATCTGATATCTAAGTAGATTATTAAAATAAACACAAAATTGGATATGGACTTGATATTATATGTTATATATTTGCTGTTAATTTTCTCAGTTGCTATCATCCCACTCTAAGTAGGAAGAATGATACTTCTTGGAGCTACAGGCTATCTGCAACTTAATGGGTTCAGCAATAGAAACGGACACACAGCTAAGCAAATAGGACAGAATGTGAATGATGGTTGAATGGAGGGGGTGGGGTGACAACAATCAACCTTTGAAGAATATGAAGTTAAAAAATATTTAAACAAATAGCATGTAATAAAAGCAAGGTCCTCCATACCCCAAAGTCAGTAGGCCAGTATCCTCTGGGATGACTTCTGGGTCCTGGTCCTCCTCAAGGCACCGCAGTTTATCGAGACTAAAACAAACAAACAAACAAACAAAACAAAAAAAAGGCAAAGCAATCATGTCTTGTTCCCAGTGAGCCAAGTGGTGCCCCAAAATACATCACCAGCTGATTAAGGGAGATAAAAATCCTGCACTGGGCTCAGAGGAGGTTAGAATTCAAGGCCACATCGGTGAGGATAGTCCATACATACAAGCATACACGGCCTTATTTTATTTTATTTTTTCTAATATATTTTATTGATTGTTTACAGAGAGGAAAGGAGAAAGTTAGAAACATGGATGAGAGAAAAACATCGACCAGCTGCCTCCTGCACACTCCCCACAGAAGATGTGCCCGCAACCAAGGCACATGCCCTTGACCAGAATCGAACCCGGGACCCTTCAGTCCACAGGGCGACGTTCTATCCACTGAGCCGAACGGGCTTCGGCTACACGGCCTTCAGCTACAGAGGCCAGCACTGTTAAATGGAGGAAGAAAAAAAATATCTTTTAAAAGTCATTTTTGTATGTTCACTCCAAATACGGCAGCTGGGGGAGAAAATGTCAGTAACAGCATACCAGGATGGTCCCCAAAGAGACCGACCCCCGTGAATCAAGGTGTTAACACTCCTCCGGCCACCTCTCCCGGCCTCACCGTTACTATGGCTCCTCCGCGGCCAGAGCACCTGTCAACGGCAGGCACGCGTCGCTGTGACTCTGATCGCTTTTCTACAGCAACAAGCACTTTCACGAAAAGCGAATAGAAAGCCGAAACCGGTGTGGCTCTGTGGATAGAGCCTCGGCCTGCGGACTGAAGGGTCCCAGGTTCGATTCCGGTCAAGGGCATGTTCCTTGGTTGCGGGCACATCCCTAGTAGGGGGTGTGCAGCTGGCCAATGTTTCTCTCTCATCAATGTTTCTAACTCTCTATCCCTCTCTCTTCCTCTCTCTGTAAAAAAATCAATAAAATATATTTTTTTAAAAAGAAAGAAAGAAAGAAAAGCAAATAGAAAAATGAGTCTTTTAGGCAGCTCTCTCGTCTCTTCCCTCCAACGCGGAGGAAAGATGCCCGCGGATCACGGGTCCCCTCTCCTCCCCTCCCCGTCCGGGGTTCCGGGAAGCGCCCGCAGGTGGGAAGCGTTGAAAAGGCGGCATATGCCCTCCTACCCCCGGGGTCACGCTCCTACCCCCGGGGTCGCCCTCCGGCACCCCCAAGCCAGGGTCCCAGAAAGCGCAGGGGCAGAGCATCACCCGGGTTGGCACCAAACAAGAGCCACCTCCCCCCAACCCCCCAGCCCCGCACTCACCCGCAAACGGCCCTCAGCTCGGTCGCTGCCTCCAGGTCGCAGCCCAGATCCCGCGCCGCCGCGGCGTCGTCCCAGCCCGGGTCGGCGACCCCTCCAGGGCCAGGCGGCTCGGATGCCGGCGGCTCCTTCAGCGACAGGTCTCCTTGCCCGCGCAGCCGGTCACGCCACAGCTCCCCGAAGGCGCCCACGTGGAAAGCGCGTGTGTTCAGCTCCGGCATCTCGTACTCGGGAAAGTTGCTGCTGGCCGCCGGGTCCCGCTCGCCGCCAGCCCCGCTGTTCGTTGGGACGCCCGGGCCGCTTTCAGCCATGTTTCTCCACCCCTCCCGGCTCCCTTCCCTGCAAAAGCCGGAGGATCAAGGTCTCGCGCGGCGTGATGGGACTTGTAGTTGCGCGTGTCCTGGCCGGCGGGCGGCGGGCCTGCGCAGACGGAGCTTCAGAAACTACATTTCCCGGCAGGCCCCGGGTCAGGGGCGCCGCGAGCCTGCGTGAGTGGGGCTGGGCTCATTGTTCTCTACTGGGGCGGGGCGGGGAGGAATGGTGGATATTTATTCCCCATCTCTGGTTGGCTTTGGTTTCTGGCTCCCAAAGTTATGTAGCATATCTGTCTCCTGGCTGGGGCGGCCTCCACACGCCCATGGTTCTCCCTCTTTACCTGTCCTCAGCCCCCGGGGACCGGACTTGTCCTTCTCTCCAGTGGTGGGCTGTGCTGCTGCCTCGCTGCTCCCGGGCCTGAGAGACTTGGGGGCTGGGGCCCCAGATCAGGTCCCTCCAGAACCGCTCCAAACGCCCCGTGTTCGCGTGTGTATATATACACTCATGCAGTGTTGCACACACAAACATAGAGTTAATTTTTTTTTAATTGATTTCAGAGGGAGAGAGAGATTGAAACAACCATGATGAGAATCATTGATCAGCTGCCTCGTGCACGACCCAACTGGGGATGAGCCAGCAACCCTGGGCATATGCCCTGACCAGAATCGATCAAGTGACCTTTTGGTTCCTGGATCAACTCTCAACCGCTGAGCCACACCTGACTGGGCAACAGTGGAGTTTATTGTTGTCTATGTTTCAGACACTATACATAGTTAACCCTAATGTGTATTGTTGCACATTACAGTGTTTCCAGGATCCCTATGTTGCTCTTGAGGATGGAGATAGCTGCTAGGATACAGAAGCAGGATTGGAATTTAATCTGTCTCTCTTCAGATTGAGCTTTCTTCATCTCTCAGAGACCTCCAAGGAAGGAGCAGGACACTCAGAGCAAGCCCTGTTTATTTATTTGGGGTATAATTCACATATATAATCTTAAATTAGAGTTGGAATCCCAACCTAAAGATTAATAAATAGTCTCTTGGTGCAGTCACTGTGGAAAACAGTATGGTGTTTCCTCAAAAAATTAAAAATGGAACTCCCATTTGACCCAGTAATCCCACTTCTAGGAATATATCACAAGAAACTAGAAAACACCCATCAGAAAGGATATATGCACCCCTATGTTCGTAGCAGCACAATTTACAATAGCTAAGATTTGGAAACAGCCTAAATGCCCATCAGCAGATGAGTGGATCAGAAAACTATGGTATATCTACACAATGGAATACTATGCCGCTATAAAAAAGAAGGAACTTTTACCATTTGCAACAGCATGGATGGAACTGGAAAGCATTATGCTAAGTGAAATAAGCCAGTCGGAGAAAGATAAGTATCACATGATCTCACTCATATGTGGGATATAATGATCAGCATAATTTGATGAAGAAGAATAGATCCAGAAACAAACGGCAAGGAGGTGGGGGGGAGAGGATTAGAGAGCAACCAAAGGACTTGTATGCACGCATGTTAGCATAACTAATGGACACGGACTCTGGGGCAGTGGGGGCTTCCCCTTGGGGGTGGGAGTGGCGGGAGGGAGGTCAAGCAGGGAAAAAGAAGACATATGTAATACTTTAAACAATAAAAACAAACAAACAAACAAATACAGTCCACCCCTGGGCCTGTACAACTTAGTCCAAATCTCTCCACAGGAGGAGCTCTCACTCCAGAGAATGAAGCCACAGTTTAGTGGGAAAAACTCAATGTGTATCTGGAAATGAAATAATATTGGTTTCAGGAGTAGAGACCACAATGGTTCCTGAGCAGCAAGGGCTAGGGGCAGGACCAGAAGAGTTCCCAAGAGAAGGTAGTTAGTTGCTGCTGTGAGGTGTAGCATAGGGTAGCAGAGGCTTGAGGCATTAGTAGATAGGAAGGATTTGTAGTACCAGCACCAATCACAACACTGCCCTCCGTTCAATCTTATCATCAACAGCCAATCCTTGGAGTGAGGCTGAAGGGATCCAGAGTAGCCACTGTAGCATACAAATTCTTCTTGAGGAAGAAAAAACCCTAATGTTTCCCAATCTGGTGAAATTGATTAGTAAATCAGGTCAAAAGGAAAAGGGACACTGAGACTACAGATAGGTAAATTACCAAGCCATTTACAGCCATTTAGTAAGTTGCCAAATTCTATCTTCCCTGACCAAGGACACTTAAGAGTAAATGGTTTCCACTTCTTCTCCCCAACTAGAGGGTAAATAGCTTAAATCACCCTAGTCAGGAAGATAGATAACAGAAATACCATTAGTGCCAACTACACTCAAGGATGGATGAAATCAGGGGAATAAGTGTAATTTGGGCACATCTGCATAAAGCTGATAAATAGTCTTCTGAGATCTTTCCCTAAGATATCTCATAAAATTCTCTGCCTTTAAAAAAACAGGTAAGAACCCTCAAGACAAAGACCCAGTTTGGGCTCTTTCTGGAGCACACCCATGCCTTTCTTCTGTCTCAGCAGTGCATCTTTATTTTTATTTTTTTCCTAAACTCTAAAGGGCCCCAGGAAACTTGCCACCAGGGGAGCATCAGGCAATGGCAGCTCATCCTGGGCTAACCCTCTGAACCTGTCTCCAAGGCCCCATTTTCTCTGACTTTTTTTTTAATTAAAAAAAGGAAAAATATATTTTTATTGATTTCAAAGAGGAAGAGGGAGAAGGAGAGGCTGAGGGAAGGTCAATGGGGGGGAGATGTATATACTACTATATGTAATACTTTAAACAATAAAATAAAATTAATTTTTAAAAAAGAAAAAGAAACATCAATGATGATAGAGACTCATAGCATTTCTCTGACTTTTCATCTAGCTAACAGCAGCCCCATCGTGGCTAACTTCTTCCATTGTGACTTTCACTTCTCAGAGAGTCCACACAGCCCAACATGGCTCACTTCTTTCCTATAACATTTCTAGATATTATCGGGAAGGGGCCTGGCTGAGTGGTCTACCTTGGACCAGCCTGTTGTGTATAGTTTTTTGTCTTTGTGTGGGAATGACTTCAGAGTATATATATTAAAGCTGGGGACAGTGAAACAAAGAAAGACTAGGATAGAAGAAGCAAGCTTTAGTAATTCTACTCTCAAAATCACCTGGACTCCCATTGTGAAATTTTTCTTGTATGAAGTCAAAAACCCACACACTACAGGACAGCCCAAGGCAGACCCACTCCAGCCCCTTTCTGGGGATTGAGGTGGTAATGTAGGTTTAAAGTAGGGATTCTGAGTAGTGACAAAATTATGAATTGTTATCTGGCTGATAGTTTCCCAACCCTTCTTATGCTCTGTGGGACAGGGATTCTCACCAGGTTCAAAGTTGGCCACAGCCAACTCTGGCATTGCTAGTGAGAAGAGCTTAGGACAAGTGCCTAATCCTGACCCACTCCTTAGATATTGCAAGGCTGTAGAAAAATAAATACTAGCCACCTTTCTCAGCAAAAATGGTTGGGACTTGTCCTTGAAGATACAAGAAGGAGAAGATTGTTTGCGTATGTATTGTTCATGGATTCTATGCTTCAACTGGTTGCTTGTTCAGGTGGAGAATTGCTTTCCAGAAGCCAGGGGACAATGTGGGCTTCCTCTCTGCCAAAGAAAGGAGTAGAGAAGGATGGAAAGGGAATGGTGTGGACAGGAAAGACAGCTGGGGTACTCTTAGTCATAAAAGCAGTTGGCAGAATAATAATCATTTAGTGAGGAGTAAGATTTATAACCATTCAAAGGGCTTGCAATAATTAAAAAGAATCTTAGCAACTTAGGTGGAAAACCTGAATCTAGTGCCCTCTACTCTTCTGAGCAATGATTATTTTCACAGCTGAATAACTGTTAATAGGCCTATATTTGCATAATCACTTTTTATTCTCTAAATTGCCTCCAATTAATTGCTTTAGGAAATCTCTACTGTTCTTTGTTCTCCCATCACCACCATCTCAGTTCCATTGATATGTAAAAATGAAATAATTCAGTTTTTTCCAAAGACAAGGCCAAATTTATTGTAAGGTGTTGTAATTTAAAAAAAAACAAAAACATTTTATTGATTTTTTTACAGAGAGGAAGCGAGAGGGATAGAGAGTTAGAAACATCGATGAGAGAGAAACAGAATACTCTTTGAAAAGATTCTACCCTCGTCTCAGAAGAAAAGCATCTTTCTACTGTGAAGTTACTTCTCCCCTCTTTCCATATTGTACTCTTTGAAAGTAAGTCTCCGGGTGCAGTTCATCCTCGAGTGGGGAGACTCATCTCCTGGAATTGTTGGCAGCGGCGACAAAGGCACCAGGTGTTAGATTGGTGGAGTCAGACCGAATATGCAGTTCGCCCTGGTGACTTCTGTACCTGAACCATTGTCCGTGCTGTGCTCCTGCCTAACTGTCTACCTCGGAATGGGGAGTGGTTGCATAATTATTTGGAATTCTACAAGGGAGATTTATCTCTTCTCCATTTATTTAAATACTCAGTCTCTTATTTATACCGTACCGGCTCATGGCCATTTATTTTAAGCTTTGGGTTATTGTCCAATACTACTGTATCAGCTGTGCGTTTCTGATTCTTGGACAGCTGGCTCTTGCTGACTCTGGGGAGACTGCCCCTCCCCGGGCATGCAATTCCTAGACACAGTACAGGACTCTCCATGAATGGGCCTTTCAGATGTCAGGCAACCAGCCCAAGGCCTGCATCCCTACCGCCTTCTCTATTGGGTTCTCACACTCAGGACTACTAATCCCCAGCGCTAATTAGCCATGTCCAGAAAGGTACCAGACAACTAGGGACAGAATAGCTGCTAAAATTAATCATAATAGCCAATCCTAAACTTGCTAATACCTTGCCTCATCCTTCCTGTAGAACCACAATAAAGGCTTGTGCTCATATTTCCCCATTGCTCCTTCTGCCTCCTAATCACCCCAGTGCTTCTTCATGTGGCCCCTGTGGCCTGGGTGTCCCTCCTCTGGGGAACTGTAATACACTAGATTTTCAATGGCAATCAGCT